TCTCCAGTTCCATCCGTGCAGTCGCGAAGTGTTAGTAGTTCTTTTTTTCTTTCTGCTGCGTAATATTCCATTGTGTAAATGTACCATAGTTTTTTGATCCAATCATCTACTGATGGGCATTTAGGTTGCTTCCAACACTTGGCAATAGCTGCTATGGCAATTTATGCTGACTCGGCAATTTATGCTATAAATTGTGCTGCTATGACATTGGGGTGCATAGGTTCTTTTGAATTGGCGTTTGGGGATTCTTAGGGTATAGTCCCAGCAGAGGAACCACTGGATCAAAAGGCAGTTCCATTTTCAGCTTTTGGAGGAAATTCCACACTGCTTTCCACAGTGGCTGCACCAGTCTGCATTCCCACCAACAGTGGACTAGGGTTCCCTTTTCTCCGCAGCCTCGCCAGCACCTGTTGTTTGTTGACCTGCTTATGATGGTCATTCTGACCAGTGTGAGGAGGTATCTCATTGTGGTTTTGATCTGCATTTCTCTGATAGTTAGTGATGCCGAGCATCCTTTCAAATGTCTCTGGGCCCTCTGTATCTCTTCCTTGGAAAAGTGTCTGCCCAGGTCCTTTGCTCATTTTTTGATTAGATCATTTGCCTTCTTGGAGTGGAGTCGAGCTAGTTCTTTATATATCTTGGAGATCAAACCTCTATCTGATATATCATTAGCAAATATATTTTCCCATACGGTTGGCTCCCTTTTCATTTTGCTGATGTTTTCTTTAGCTGTGCAGAAGCTTCTTATTTTGATGAGGTCCCACTTGTTTATTCTTTCCTTTATGTCCCTTGCCTTAGAAGACATATTGGTGAAAAAATTGCTGCATGGGATATCTGAGAGTTTCCTGCCAATGTTCTCCTCTAGGACTTTTATAGTGTTGCGACTTATATTTAAGTCTTTTTATCCATCTTGAGTTTATTTTTGTGTATGGTGTCAGCTGGTGATCCAATTTCAATTTTTCGCATGTAGCCGTCCAGCTCTCCCAACACTACTTGTTGAAGAGGCTATTATTACTCCACTTTATGCTTCTGCCCCCTTTGTCAAATATTAGTTGCCCATAGAGACCTGGGCCTATTTCTGGGCTTTCTCTTCTGTTCCACTGGTCTATGGATCTGTTCTTGTGCCAGACAGTTTTAAGTATAAAGGCTTTGTAATATAGTTTGACGTCTGGTATTGTGATCCCTCCTACTTTGTTTTTCTTTCTCAAAATTGCTGTAGCTATTGGGGGTCGTTTATCGTTCCATATAAAATTTTGAAATGTCTGTTCTATTTCTGTGAAATACATCATTGGTATCTTAATAGGGATTGCATTGAATCTATAAGTTGCTTTGGGTAGTATGGACATTTTGATGATATTAATTCTTCCAATCCATGAGCACCATATATGCTTCCATTTATTTGTGTCTTCCTTAATTTCTTTCTTCAATGTTGTATAGTTTTCTGGGTACAGGTCTTTTACCTCCTTGGTTAAATTTATTCCTAGGTACTTTATTTTTCTTGTTGCTATATCAAATGGTATTTTTTTTCTGATTTCTTCTTCTTCTATTTCATTGTTGGTGTACAAAAATGCCTTTGATTTCTGAATATTGACTTCATATCCCACTGTTTTGCCAAATTCACTTATTAGGTTGAGCACTTTTTGGTGGAGTCTACAGGGTTTTCTATGTACACTATCATGTCATTGGCAAACAATGGTAGCTTCACTTCCTCCTTTCCTATTTGGATGCCTTTTATTTCTTTTTCTTGTCTGACTGCTGTGGCTAGGACTACCAACACTATATTGAATAGAAGTGGTGAAAGTGTACATCCTTGTCTTGTCCCAATCTTAGTGGGAAAGCTTTTAGTTTTTGCCTGTTGAGTATGATCTTGGCTGTAGGTTTATCATATATGGCCTTTATTACATTGAGGTATGCCCCATTTATTCCCATTTTGCTAAGTGTTTTGATCATAAATGGGTGCTGTACTTTATCAAATGCTTTTTCTGCATCTTTTGAGATGATCATGTGGGTTTTGTCTTTCCTTTTGTTTATGTAATGTATTATGTTTATTAATTTGCATATATTGAACCATCCCTGCATCCCTGGGATGAATCCCACTTGATCATGGTGGATAATCTTTTTAATGTATTGCTGGATGCGGTTTGCCAATATTTTGTTGAGAATTTTAGCATCTATGTTCATCAGCGAAATTGGCCTGTAATTTTCTTTCTTTGTAAGGTCTCTATCTGGTTTTGGGATTATGGTGATGCTGGCCTCATAAAAAGAGTCTGGGAGTTTTCCCTCCTCTTGGATTTTTGGGAATAGTCTGAGGACAGGGTTTAGCTCTTCCTTGAATGTTTTGTAAAATTCTCCTGTGAAACCATCTGGCCCAGGGTTTTGTGTGTCGGGAGTTTCTTGATTACTGCTTCAATTTCCCCAGCTGTTATCTGTCTGTTCAAGCTTTCTGCTTCTTTCTCCTTCAGTGTTGGAAGATTATACTTTTCTAGAAATTTGTTCATTTCATCGAGGTTTTCAAATTTCTGGGCATATAAGTATTCATAGCAGTTTCTTACAATCCTTTCTATTTCTGTGGTATCAGTTATTTCTCCTCCTTCATTTCTGATATTATTAATTTGGGTCCTCTCCCTTTTTTTCTTGATGAGTCTGCTGAAAGGCTTGTCAATTTTATTTATCTTTTCAAAGAACCATCTCCTGGATTGGTTGATTCTTTGAATTGTTCTTTTCATCTCTATGTCATTCAGTTCTGCTCTAATCTTGATTAATTCCTTCCTTCTACTTGCTCTAGGATTTATTTGTTGCTTTTCTCCAGTTCTTGAAGTTGTAGTGTTAGGTCTTTTATTTGAAATGAGAAACAAATTATTAACTCATGAAACATTATGTTGAGTGAAAAAAGACAGGCAAAAACAAAAAGTACATACTGTACAATTTCATTCATATAAAATTACAGGAAATTCAAGAAAATCTCGTGTAAGAGGTACAGAGCAGTGTTGTCAAGGGATGGGAGGATTACACAGGTAGATAAGAAAACTTTTAAGGGTATTAGAAATGTTATTTTAATTACAGTAATGATTTCACAGTTGTATACATTTTAAAATTGATAAAACCATTCAATTTAAATAAGCACAGTTTATTGTACTTCAATCATACTTCGACAAATTGTTTTTTAAAAAAAACTATGGTGTTTCTTTCTTTCATTCACTTTTAGAACCCGGAACAAATGTTATTCATCAATCATTAAGTGGTTCAAAGAATGTTGTAAAAAAACCAACAACTCCAGTTGCTGGTCAGTCAAATATACAAGATAATGGTACTGAACAAAAGGTATAAAATTATGTGTCAAACTTTTATATGATGATTATTAGTTTATCTAGTTAACTTTCACTTCTATGAACTACCTCTTTCCCTACTGCCATTATTCCTAACTGATTGATTAGTAATATTAAGGTCTATTCATGAGACATGATCTTTGAAAGTGCTGTGTTAACTTTATGCTATACTCATTATATAACTAAGCAGAAACTAATCTAGACAAACACTTAGCAACAATGATGATAATACTAGCTAATATTTATTGAGTATCTACTGTTGGCTAGTCCTTTGCTAAGCCAGAGGAAAGGGAAAATGAGAAAATTGAGTCACATAGGATACAAAGGTGAATAAGACAATCACTTGAGGACTCATTTTTGAGTGGGCCAGAGAGACACTGTAAAATGTTTTTTTACAACAAAATGAGATTCTGAGGTAATAAGTTTTATCTTGATTCTAAGCAGTACATTCATGAGCATTACATTAGATGGAATTTTCTTCCCCTGAAACAAACGGAATTACTCTATAGTTTTGGAACCAATCATTGAATGGACTCCATGATTTAAACAAAGTATGGAATATTGGAAGAAAAACACTTTTAGACATTGCTACGCACTGAACTCAATTTCAAAATAGTTAAATTTGAGATCCCTGTGAAAAGTACTCGAGGAGGTTCATAAGGTACATTGTTCCTGAGACAATTTTCATGAGACAGTTAGGGAATGAAGGGCAGAGGATTCTGCATTTGTTTGATAGAAGGCAAAATCTTTTTCAAAAGTACAGTTACTAATTAATGTTTTTTTCTTTAATGTTTTACCATATAGAAAGATGGATTCGTATATAAAAAATCAAGTATTTGTAATGATAAAGGTAAGAAAATGAAAAATATAATTGTTTTGTTATTTGTTAAGGATATAATTATGGCTTCATCATAGTTTTCAAGCTATTTATTTTACCTGATTTTATAAATTATGGTTATTTTAGAAAATAAAGCATCATATAAAATTGTTTATGATTGTAGATGTTATAATTAGCCCAAATGTTTGATTGATTGCTTAAGGAATCTGGCTTTTGAAATTTGCAAAGTGTGAAAGTTGGGGTCCCTGCTGTGGCTATTTATAGTGATACTATAAAAAAAGTTGCTACTTTCTGTATAATCTACCTTCATAATTTAACTTGCCCTCCCCTGTTTTGCATTTCCACAGCTTATGCCTTGTTTCCTCCATTTTTTAATATTTTAGTACCCTTCCTCCAATCTCTTTCTCCTTTTTTAAATTCATCATGCATTTGTTGCGACAGTATTCTTTCTAAAAAACATTTCTGGTTATTTAAGTAGTTAGTGGTGTTCCTTTGCAGACTGAATGAAATGCAAACAGTTATTTCTGGTCAAAGTGTTTGATTAGTTGTAGGGATTAAGCTGGTCTTAAAATTAAATAACTTAGGATCAGAAGTTAAGAATTTGAGACTTGTCCTTCAAACCAGTGGTGAAGTACTGGTTATTTGTAGACCATGAACATAAAAAAAGGCCATGTTATCCTTTTAGATACTTCCTGAATTCAAATAAATCCCTCATTGGAGTAATCCAGTGATTGTGGTAGCTCAGCAGGAAGAACACGGGATCAATTCTGTTAATATTCACCCTTATTCCAGCAATATTATCTTCTCATATTTAAAAGTATCTCATCTTTTTCTAGGAACTCTGTACATTTCACCTCAAGATTCAATTATTTCAGCTCAAACTTCACCCACAAGAAATTGCCCCAGATCTTCACAGTCTTATTTGGGTCCTGTGGTATGTAGTATTTCTTTTGCCCCAAATGCAAATGGAATTAATGTGGCACCATCTTATCATTGGTATAAAAAAATTATTCACAGTGACCATACAGAACAGCTTTATTCCTTGAAATTAATTATGCCATAATAACATTTTAATAGCCATATGATAGTCTTCGTAGGGTACAACATGGTATTTCACAGCATGTACCTGTAACATTAAGAGGGCCTATCAAATGGGTTTCTTTGATTGGTTTTGCCTAGTACTGATAGATTGTTCAGAGACAGCCATACTGTCCCTCCCCATTCCCTTTTGACCAATGGTTAGTTACCTGCTGTTGGAATGTTACCAGCAAAGATTCAGGATACAGCTTGTTATTATAGGTGTCAAAATCACATCTTCCATTCCACTAGTAGCACAGTGTTAACTGATTAAACTGTTTTAAAGAGGTAACATGGTTTTAAAGAGATTTCAATAAACTGAAGATTGATTAAATTTTTCCAAATTAATTCTACAGATTAGGATGAAAAAATGGCATCCTGGTGCCATTTTCTGTGCCCTCTAATGCAAGGGTCCCTGTGCTCTGGACTGTGGACTGGTACCAGTCCATGGCCTGTTAGAAACCAGGCCACACAGCAAGAGATGAGCAGCAAGCTAACGAAGCTTCAGTTGCATTACTGCCTGAGCTCCATCTCCTGTTTTTGCTCCTCCCCTGTCTGAGGAAAAATTGTCTTCCATGAAACCAGTCCCTGGTGCCAAAAAGATTAGGGACTGCTGCTTTAGTTCAGAGTACAGGATCTGTCTAGAAAAAATCCACCCATTGTTAATATAATGAGAACAGTTTGCACGACATCGATGTCTAATTTGGCAGCCAAGGAGAATGGACTAGAATGCACATGTGTGAACAATGATGACTTCACTGTACTAGTTAGTAGGGGTCGTAGATGCCATTGAGTGAGAATGTGTACTTTGTGGCCATAGCATTCAAAATGACTGAGCGAGTGAGTAGAGCAACGAATCTGCATCAAATTTTGTGTTAAGCTTGAACATTCTTCTGTGGACACTGTTCGGATAATTCAGAAGGCTGCAGCTAAGGGCAACTGGTGATTGACAGCTTCATCACAACAATGTGCCTGCTCATGCAACACATTTCATGCAGAGTTTTTTAGCAAAACATGAAATCACCAGGTGACTTAGCCCCCCTACAGCCCCAATATAGCATCCTACAACTTCGGGCTTTTCCCAAAACTAAAATTAGCTTTGAAGGGGAAGAGATTTCAGACTACCGATGGTCTGAGATTCAGGAAAATATGATGGGGCTGCTGATTGAGAGAACTCTGTGAGGTCCCAAGGTGCATACTTTGAAGGGGACCAAGGCATCATTTTCCTATATACAATGTTTTTGTATCCTGTATCTCCTTCAATAAATGTCTCTATTTTTCATAATGCATGGCAGGGTACTTTCTGGACAGACCTCATATATGCAGACTACATTATGCATCACTTTTACAATGTAGTATGTTTATTCTTATGCATATTATGGCATGCTTCTCTGTAGGAGAATTTTATTATAAATAATATTTTAAAGTTCAATGTTCTATGTCAATGTCTACTTGTGTTAAGACTCATAAAAATATTTCTTAACTTTGACAAAGTTCTCATATTATGCAACAAATTTCTAAGGCTATGGATTTTACTAAATACAAACAAACCAAACAACTCCTTCAAAATTATATAATTGACCTTTTTTGGTAATATGTGTGTTATTAAATTTGCCATTCATATTATCTCAGATGAGTATCAAAATATTGACAAATATCTAATTTATGAGAAATTGCATTTTATTAATGTAATTATTCATCCTGTTTCCAACATGTTGTACACAGGCTACCACTGTCAGAAAGTGTACTTCAGGTGGCCTACGTTCATCCTTCAGAACTGATAGAAAGAGGGGTCTATTGCTTTGGATTTACCTCCCTGAGCAGGTTGAATTCTTGGAGAAGCCTACAGAGCTACATCCCTATGTATTCAGCGAGCCCGTTCTGTATTCCAGCTCTTTTAAATTTTTCTATATTGTTAGCTTTGTTAAAAAAACAAACCTATTCCTTTGTCCCATTGAATTGATTGACTTTGTTACTAATCAATGAACTCCAGAGATAGTTAATTTTAGAAGACCAGTGAATACTTTTGTGCAGAAATGAGTTAACACAACAGGCCTGAAACTGCCTTTTTTTAAAAAGTCGTGCTTGCAAGGTTGGCCTTTGGCTAGTGTTTGGGAATTTGGCTTTTCCCTAACTGACATTCCTTAACTGACATAGAACTTTCCCAAATTCAGTAGGTGGGACACTGTACTTAGACTCTGCAAAGAATGTAATTTTTGCTGAACATCTGATTGCCTTTTGGGATGTTGGAATTTTGGTACTCAGTAAGCTAGGGGTGTCTTCATGACCACCCTTCAGTAAAAACCTTGAGTGCTAAGGTACTACTGTATTTTCTTGGGCATAAAAAATACACATTTCTGCATTTTTTTATTGCCAGAGAAAAGAACATGATCAAGCATGTCCTCCCACAGGAGAGAGAGAGCATAAGGAAGACAACGCATGGATTTTTCCAGACTCAGCCTCTTTATTTTCCCCTCAGTTATCTTATAGTGTATTTTTTTATTGTAATAAGTTTTAGATGTAAACACAAAAATACCCTGAGTCCTGTTAGTTTTAACAAATCACCAGATGTGTGAATAGTCTTGTGAACCACCTATGATACAACTATGACATTTTAAATTCTATAAATTATAGATGTAATATAAACAGCAAAAATACATGTACTTCTTAAAAATTGACACTTTAGGGAGATTCTCAAAACCTTAAATTTGTGCATTTAAATATGTGTGTGCATGGGTGTTCAAATCCTGAAAAAAAAAATCATTTAAGGAGGTTTGTTTTGTTGTTTGGATTATCCAGAAGGAGATAAATGCTGATGCGTGTAAAAGGCAAAACAGGAAATCAAGCTTCTTCTATGAATCAGGTAAATATCAGCAACAACTACTAAGTAAGTTATGTGGTCTTTCAATTCATTCTTTCAACTAATATTTACTGAGCTCCTCATTTATGCTGGGTATGGTGCTGAATATTGAAAGAAGAAAACCCATTGTTCTTATCCAGGGCTGTTAAGGTGAAATGAAGAAATAATTATGACAATAACCACAACCCAATATAATAAGCACAGTAAAGACAATAGGTGCATACAAACCAGAGTGAGTAGAGAGAAGGCAGTGCCTAGGTCTACCGGGGGTAGTCAGGGAAGCTTTTATATAATAGACATAATTGAGGCCCTGGCCAGGTAGCTCAGTTGGTTATGACGTGCAGATTTGATACTCAGCTGGGGCCCTTACAAGAATCAACCAATGAGTTCATGGATGGGTAGAACTACAAATCAATGTTTCTCTCTCCCTTTTTCTCTCTCTAAAATCAATGAATAAAACATTTTAAGAAAAGAATAGACATAATTGAGACATACTATCTTCCCAATTCAGAAATAGTTTTTGTCATAGTAAAATTTTAATATTTTAAATCAAATCTCCTTTATCCTATTAGTTATGTTGATTTTTAAAATCATTATATTATATAATAGTCATTTGATTATATGTATTATTCCTTCCCTATGTACCTGGATTCAATACGCCAATGTTTTGCTTTACAGTTTTATTTCTGAAGTCACGGTAGTGATTGGCCTATAATTTCCATTTCTCATAATTTTTCTTCATATGAAAGTTATGCTCGCCTCATAAGTGTCTATCCTTTAGTTTCAACTGGAAGAGCTGGGTGAATATTGGATTAATTTTTTCTTTAAAGATTTTGCAGAATTTACCGGTGAAGCTACCTGGGCGAGTAGTTTTCTTTGTTACCTAGTATTTAACTACAATTTAAAAAATTTTAAATATATGATCATTTAGTTGTTATTCTTAGTAAGTTATATTTTTCTAGGAATTAGTTCGCCTAAGTTTTCAAATGTACCAGCATAAAATCATTCATAATACATCATTTTATGAATACATATCTTACACTAATATTTTAGTGTTTTAGTTAGAATTAAAAGCTTTCAGGGAATACAAAAATTTGTATTCAGTAAATAATCACAAAGCATAAAAATCTATATAACTTCAGATATAAATGTTAAACATAAAATAATCTGCACTGCAAAAGCGCCATTTTTCCCCTTTCAAATCAAAACATCCAGCCTCCTTCTTTAATAACCATTCTCTTGATTTCTACACAATATTAGTATTGCCTGTTTTTGAAATTTATATAAATGAAATCAAGGTATATATATTATGTTTCTGTATTTTTCTCTCAATATTATATTTCTGAGAATCAAATCATCACTTTCTTTGTGTGTAGTTGTAATTTATTTTCACTATTGTATAGTTTATGAACTATACAATTTATTCTACTGTTCATAATTATTCAGATTTTTCCAGATATGAGCTGATATAAGGAATTCTTTATGAACTATCCAGTGTGTGTGTGCACGCACACGTGTGAGAGAGAAAAAGAGAGAGAGAGAGAGATCTATTGCATACCTATCTAAGAATAAAACCACAGTGCCATTCAGTATATGTATGTATGTTCAATTGTAGTAGATGATGCTTAAGAATTTTCTGAAGGGGTCGCACCCTTTCAGAAATAACAGGAGAGTTCTTGTGATTTGATATCCTCAACACTTGATACTTTATCATTTAATTTTAGCCATTCTGGCAGGTTGGTATCTCATGATACCATGAGGTTTGACTTAACATTTCTCTTATTAATAATGAATCTTTATTAATTTAGTTTCATATCTTTATTGGCCATTTGGAGATCCTGTTTTTGAAGGTTTTACTTAAATCTTTTACCTAGTTTACGATCATATTGTGCTCTGTTGATTACTGATATGTAATCAGCTTTTGTTGCATTACAGATAATGAATCCTTTGTTGGGTATAGTGACACAGTTATAGTCTCACACTATATAGCTTTCCTTTTCTCTTTTTTATTATGGATTTTGAATAAGAGGTTATTTTTCAATTTATATTTTATTTTTGATTAGTTATTTCCCTGTCCTGTAGAAAAAATCTTTTCCTAGCCAATGTTCATAAAGATAATCTTTTTAATTTAATTTTTGTGAGAAAACATAAGTTCTAGTCTAACTCCAATTATGCAATATAGCACAATCAACTATGGACACTATGTTATACATTTGATCCCCAGACTTTACTCATCTCATAACTAAAGTTTGACTCTTTTCCAGCCTTTCCCTATTTCCTTCATGCCCTCGCCCATGGCAACCACTGTTCTATTCTCTGTGTCTAGGAGTTCAACTCTTCTGTAAAAAATGTAGGTTCTACATAAAAGTATATGTCTTTGGTTTATTTTAGTTAGCCTAATGTCCTACAGGTTTTCCATGTCGTCACAAATGTTAGCTTTCCTTATTTTAAAGGCCAAATAATATTATTGGGTATATGTCTGCATGTGTATATGTATACACACATGTATATATCACATTTTTATGCATTTATTCATCAACAGATCCTTAGATTGTTTCCATATCTTGATTATTGTGAATACTGCTGCTGTGAACATGGGAGAACATATATTTCTCCAAGATAGTGATTTCATGTCTTTTGGATATACCCAGAAATGGAGTTGCTAGATCATATGGTAGTTCTATCTTTAATTTCTTGGGGAACCTCCATACTGTTTTCCATAATGGATGCACTAGGTTGCATCCCCTCCAACAGTGTACAAGAGGTATTCTTTTCTCCACATCCTTGCCAACATTTATTTCTTACCTTTTTTGGTAATGACCAGTCTAACAGGTGTGTGGTTTTGATTTGAATTTCTCTGATGATTAGTGATGTTCAATATCTTTTATATGCCTTTTGGGAGACTCAGCTTTAACTCCCCATCTGGTTTACCCCTGATGTCTTGTTTTAAATCTTCTGACCCACTGTTAAGTTTGCAGATGTGGCCAATGCCTGTAAGACAGGCGCCAGCTTCAACACTTCCTAACCACTCTGAGTTTGTGTTTCCCCCAATTTTTACTCTCAAGAATTTATCCTACCCCTTTGAAAACTTACCTATTTTTCAGATAAGAGGATGGTTGTAATGTTTCATACAGAATTGTAGACATAAATTATTTTAGGATATTTACTCCAGCATATTACTAAAAACTGCAGAGGACATTTTTTTGCTTTTTTATGTTGCTTTTAAAATAGTATTACTTTCATACTTAACTAAGGTGTGCGCACCCTTACTCCAGTTGCTCTTTCTCCAAAACTGAACACACACAAAAAAATATTTACTCCAATGAACTCAAAAGGTTTCACAGGATTTGAGTAAGACTTTTTATATAAATTATGGGTACCTATTAGTCACTTATTTACTGGAAGAAACAAATGGTACAATTTAAACTCGACTTTGATCTGATTCTAATTCCTAATACTACCTTCTGTAAACAGGACTGACTGTCTTAAAACTTTCCTTCAAGTATATGCATAATTAGCAATCCAGTGTGCCTGTAGAAGTGTTCTGCACAAAGACTTCTTATGTCATCTTCATCCATAGTATTTACTAAAATCCAGTCATGGAATCTTGCTAGATTGCATACAAAGCAAGTTATAAAATATTTGAGCAGGAAGAAAATAATGACAGACCAATGAATAAGTGTTGAGGAAACATATTAATTACATTATGTATTCAACAAATAAACATTATTAAATACTTAATATGTGTTAAGTTCTGAAGATATAGTGACAAATTTAGCCAGGAATGCAGAAGAGTAAACAGTTAAGTACAATATAGCATTATGAGTTTTATGATAGAAACATATAGAATGCTTTAGGAAAAATAAAGAAGGATATTTACTTAGGCAAGTTTTGTGGAAGGTTTTCTAGAAGACTTACAAAGATGAGAAGTTAAATAAAGGTATAAAGCGTTCTAGGCAAAGAAAACAGCAAAAACAAGTACCCATAAGCATGGAAAACATGATATATTTAGGAAGTTATAAGTTATTTTGTGTTTGGACCATAGAATACATCTGAAAGATTAGTCAGAGAAGACACTGGACAGGTAGGTAAGAATATCAGAGTGTGTGATATATTTTCTGCCTTGCTAAAAAACGTTGACATCATGGTAGAGAGTTTCTACAGGCTTTTAAACAAGGCACTGACAACAGAAAATAAACACTGCTAGAGGATATAATTTTATAAGTTGCTGGGGAAGGACACAAACAAACTATAATTTTCTTTTTCTGATAAATAGGACCTCAGGCTCCTGCCATAGCCCAGGATATTCTCATAAATACGTAAGTATGTAAGGAAATTAATGAGTAATTATAAATTAATATTTTAATAATTATATGACTTCTATTCAGCAGTAAATGATTATATGGGATCCTTCATTCTTGTAGTTCTACTTGGATTTTGTGATGTCTATCTTTTGATAACTCTTAGCAGTAAGCTTAAATTATAAAATAGACAAAGTAAATGTTCGTCTTTCTTCTCTATTTCCTTATCCTCATTGTGGTTCTACACCTTCCTATATTCAGAACCTTCATGCCACTGGCAAGTATGTGCTACCATGACCTCTCCTCTTTGAATGGCTTTTCAGGATTTGGACTTGTCCTTTTGCCTTCTTCCCCTTTCACACATATACTATTCCTTAAGTTTTCACAGATAGTAGCTTCCTAAGGATGGTAAGTGATGTTACTGTAAGTATTAATGACTAAATAGTCATTCCTTTCTTAAATTTATTATATTTGCTATATAATCCAAAATAATAATCTCTAATTATAGAAATTACTAGTCTTTGAGAAAGAAATTTTAGGAATCTTAAAGATATTTACTCCTCAAATCTTGGTGGTCACCTATTCTGTTGGTGTTTCTATATGATTTTCTCAACTTTAAATGAGAGATACTTTATATTAGACCCAATATGATCACCTTTAAAAAAATCAATATGCCACATAAGGTCAAAGGTATACACTTTACCAATCCCAAATTTCTACAAAAATGGTTGGATAAAGTTAAAAGGTATTGGGCAGTAAAAAGACTTATGCAGACCAAGAATCCTTGAAGGGTCTTCACTTTGGGACTGATGAATGTCAGTTTCACTGACTTACTGAGGATTCATGGGATCCACAGCACTGTAACAGATGCAGAAAGGAGAGAAATGACTAGCCCTGGTTAAATAAATAGACCATGGTGAAAGAATGATGACTACATGCACAAAAAGGTCATTTTTTTTTATTTACTAAGTTTTTATTTAGTGAAAATATGCCTGTCCCTTTATTTTAAAAAAATCAGAGGAGGCTTATAATAAAGTTATAATTCCTGCCTCTTTATTTTTCCCCCACCCAAGATTACAGAACTACAGAGTTACTTGAATATTTCATAACAAATATTTTGCAAACTCTCATTAAAATTTTAGTTCAGCTATGATGAATAAATCTATTCATGACCTGGAGATTCTTCATCACTCCCTGCCAAATTGACAGGAATAAAATACTTTTAGCTGCACTCACCCAACCTACACTGGGTCGAGTACACACAAAATAACAGTTACTAATACTTCTTAATCTCCTTCTGTCCATCTTACATATGCCACATTCTTCTCCTGATTTAGCTTCAAATTTCATGGCTGTACTGTGGAATCATCACTTCTGTTCTACCATCCACCTTCTTCTTCCCTATTGCTTAGTTCTAATTTTTCTACTGTTAATATACATTCAGGAAGCTTTATAAAATAGACACTTAAATTTAGAACCCAGAGAATGAAGACAAAGTAAATATGAACAGTGGGGCAACCAGAGTTGCAAAAACTAAGCATTATAGTTAGATAATAAATTCATGTTATTGAGGTGGAAGATATGAGGAGTGACAGAGTAAAGAAGGCAATACATTTGCTGCTCTGCCCAGTATGGTCAGAAATTCACAGTTTATTTATTGGGTGACATTAATAAATTGTCATTTATTGACATGGTTTAGAGATGGAATGTAATGGTCAAATTATGATACATGATGGATAACTCTGGCAGCAATACCTAAGAAAAGTTTAAACAACTTGGAACCATTCTAAAGATCTGTTAGTGACCTGCACAAAGACATCTTTTTGTGTTAGAGAGTAAGTCCAAATCCAAAACACTTTAAATGGGAATTTATTTATCAAACATTTAATGAGAATTTACTATGTTCAAAATATAATGCTAGATGTTAGGCAGATAAAACAATGAACAAATATGTCCCTGTGATAGTGAAGGGTTATTTTTGAAGGACACTGCGGAGCTAGAAAAAGGAGTTGAAAGGAGGACAGGTTGAAATACAACGAAGCTCACTATTCTTACCTAGATGAGCCATTTTTCTTAAAAAACACATTCTGGAATTCTGAATACCTTTAAGTAATTTTTAGAGTTCTGAAAATTATGAAAACACTTACATGAAATTATGAAAAAAAAAATTTACAGCTCTGGCCATTGTGGCTCAGTTTGTAGATAATCATCCTATAAACCAAAAGGTCATGGATTCAATTCCTGGTCAGGACACATGCCTGGTTTGTGGGTTTGGTCCAATTAGGGGCACCTACAAGAAGTATCTGATTGATGGCCCTGTCTCTCATTGATTATTCTCTCCTTCTCTTTCTCCCTCCCTTCCCTTCTCTCTAAAGTCAATAAGCATGTCTTCGGGTGAGGATGAAAACTTTTTTTCAGCCCTGGCTGGTGTGGCTCAGTGGATTGAGTGCTGACCTGAGAACCATAGGGTCACCAGTTCAATTCCCAGTCAGGGCATATGCATGAGTTGTGGGCCAGGTCCCCAGAATGGGGTGTGCAAGAGGCACCCACACATTGATGTTTCTCTCCCTTTCTCCTTCCCTTCCCTTCTGTCTAAAAATAAATAAATAAATACATAAATTTAAAAAATTTCCAGTTAACCCAATACTTTTATGAAGGAAAAAAATTTCAGAGCTCTTTAGTTTTCATTTTTATCTGGTTATTACAATTGTTTTTTTTTTGTGGTCATCATTGAAGTTTTCTCCGTTATTTGGTTAATTTTATTCTGAGGTCTCTGCTCTTTGTTTAGATGTCTATGCATGCCTTTGAGGCAGGAAGCTCATTGAGGAGGAAGCTCATTGAGGCAGGAAGCTCATTGAGTACTGTAGGAGGCAGAACTTCCTCCAACAATATATTGGACTCCTTGAGTTCCATTTGCTGCCTACAGTATAATGTGAAGAGAACAGAAAATAAATATGGGAGAGTTAGGTTGGAGAATATTTAAAAGAAGAAAATTATGCTTAGGTTAACCTAAGAAACCAGATTCTGTAAAAATGAAAGAGGGCAAAGGATAGTGAATATGTCACTGATATCAGCACTCATACTCCAGGTTCCATGAAAATACTGATCTAAGCCAATTCCTGAGCTAAAACCAGTAAGGTTGCATTTTCTGCCAAGATTTAGGATATAGTTCTCAGTCTTAATGTCTCTCATTATTGAATTATAGGCTTTGGGAAAATCAAATTTTATAATGTAAAGTACAGGCCTAGAAAAAATGAAAATGGAGTGTCAATTTTCTTATAAGAAAGTAGAAAGAAGATAAGGAAAGGGCAAATGTTGAAATATATGAAAATAAATATTATATATCCGAAATATGTGAAAGTAAACCAGAACTACAGTTTTAGATCTTATCTTATTAACTCTTTGTTTTCTTATTCTGTAGCTTTATTTACTGAGTTATTCTTTTACTTGTTACAATTCAGAAAATTCTGTTTTTTATACCAGTGTACAGTCATGATTCTAATTAGAATACATGATAGAATTGTTATACATAGGAAGGGGCTACATATCAATTGGTATTGACTATGGCTAGAAACCTATGGTTTTAATCACAGTTACTGAATAATCATCCACATATTCCCTTTCTAATATTTGATGAGAATGTAGATGGGGCTATGGGATTTGAGGTAGTAAAGGAATATCAGAAAACTCTGGTCAGATGCTTTGCTACCTCATGTCTTTTAGAAGACAGAAAGGACTAGACTACCCTCTCCCTCCAATTCTATGTCATTCCTCAAAGATCCACAAAGAAGGCATAAACAAGGTTGTTCAGAAGTAGCATTTTCAGATAGATGTATATTTTATGCAGAATACATATTTTATTACTCCTCAGAGTAATAAAGCATGTGGGTCAGTGTTGAAGGATGCGGAGAAATGGGTGGATCTGGGGGGATTGGGCAAAAAGTTTATGCTTCCTTTTGGATCTCTGTAGAAAGATTCTCAGATATAAAGAAACTGATTCAATGATTAGAAATTTTGGACAAAGTTCCATACATTTTTGACCCTAAATAATAACAAAATGATTACCTTTCTTTACAGACAACAGAACTTCCTACAAAATTGCTTGCAAAACAAAGTATGTATCATAAAACCCACTGATAAAACAGATATTAATGATACTTTCTAATGTGTCATAATAGAAAAAAATGTGAATCAAATAATGCATTATCATCTATTGCTATTAGTTAGTTTCCCTCTTTGCCCCTTTTTTCTTTCTTAATGTTTACTTTTGATTAATTCTTAGATTTTTGCAGTGGTCTAAAGTTCTTATCAAAAGATAATGTTGGCCTTGCAGGAAGGGATCTCATGAGAATAGGAGGGACAAGGGATATTGAGAGACCCAGTCATTATAAGAACAGCCTCAGATCCTAGAAAACCATTCTACCACCATGAGAAGCCACTGAGTGACGTGGCTTTGCAGACTTGACTGATGAGCTGAGATGCCTGGGTCTGTCCTTAGCCATTTTCATAAGAAAGGAGCTGGTCACCCATGAAGTTCACATGAAAAGGTACCTTGCCACCTATGAACTGAGACTTTGAATAAACAGATAGAGAAGGCATATTTTTAAGTCACAACTCTGGATCTAATCAGACCAGCCAGAAAAGAGAAAGAGACTAGAGGACAGCATATTCTTACATGCTTTTTCACATGGACACCTTCTCAATTGATAGAATGCATAATAAATATGAAAGCTTTGATTCAAGGGAATATTCTTCAGTGCACCATTATAATGGAATGCAGCTGAAAACTAGATTCTATTTACCATGTTTCACTCCGTAGAAAACTTTAAAAATAGCTCTTTTTTATATAGCAAGGTGGGAAACACTTTCTCCCACTTAGCTTAAGAATAATAATGTTAGACTTTTGTTAATTACTTCTGATTATAAGAAAAATAATATATATTGAATGCCTTAGTTTATGCATGCTGTAGTGGATTAGAGCAATTACTTTCTCTTTTAAAATTTAATTTGATTCTTAATGTATTTGTTTTAGGGTGCTATTATGTGAGACAAGTGTTATACAACATATGCTATCATCTAAAATATGTTGTACAATTGTACAGTAAGTGAAAAAGTATCATTAGATTAGGTAATTAGAACAGAATAAAATAGCTTTCCCTAGTGTGCCCCCAGCACTCTCGAATGTATCGGGAGAGAGTATGCTACATGGGTGTTAACTTTTCTTTGAATGTTAGCCTGAACCATGAATAATTCCATGCTAACTTAAGGCAATATTTGGGATGTGAACAGCCCCATTACAAGAGAGCTATTGTTTATCTTGGTACCTACAGACCAGCCTTGCACTCTTTGCTGCCAATTACTGTTTACAGCCTTTATGTCATAAGAGTAATTACAATTTAAAAACAGTCTACTACTTTATAACAGGCAGTAGGGGTTTTGCAAGCCCAAAGTAGATTTTCAATAAGCAGAGGGATATAGAATTGTACAGATGCATTCGGTTTCTACTCTTGGTCCAGCTTAATTTGTGACAATACCATTGATATATAAAGAAATGGTCATCCAAAAATGGTCCCTGTGTTTTATTATCAGCTCAAAACAAGAAACTCTCCACCTTCTCTACCCTTGTTCATCCCTCCTGACTCTTAAAGATCCAGCTGTAGATTGGCTTTTATTTTCTGTCTAAATCAATGATTCCTTTATTGCATCATCTTTCCTCAGGCTTCCTATCTAATACAGTTTACACTGATATTATTTTGTTGGATACAAAGGCATTCAATCTCCACAAAGCATTAAGTTTTTTGTCTCTTACTAAATAATTCTCAAGAACTAGCTGCAGTCATTTCCATAGATACAGATCATAGTCTCATCTCTGCATCAGGAAATGGGGAGCTACACAGTTGCTTCTAAAGGCACCCAAATGCCTTTTATTATATCTTTTTTAAGAAATACTGTATTAGAAATAATCTGGTATAGTTTTAGAAATTTTCTGGATCATAGATGCTATGATTCTTCTTGCTACCATACTTGCATGTTATGATTCTAGATGAGAATTTGGTGATTATTTTTTCTTTTTTTAAAATCAAACAGTCATATATCCCAACAATAAATGTTGGGATTAAAAGTTCTGAGGAAATGTGAACGAAATGGGAATGCATATAAACATATTTTATGGGATACAGAATAAACCAATTTGAAATTAATCTGAAATTCTAAATAGAGTCTATACACATTCACTTTATAACCATGATGGTATCCAGTTATACATTGCTTGATATAAAAAAAATAAATGAAACCCTCTATCCCAGAATAGAGTAAGCTGCTACATGATTTTCTTTGCATTCTTGCTCACCTCCTCTCCAGGTAACTTCTGAAGAACTGAACAGTATCATTCAGAACATAATGACCTGGGTTGTGGCTACAGTGACAAGTATATTATACCCAGCCATCACAAAGTATGAAGAAAGGTTGCAATATTGTGCATACTCAGTGTCTGAAGAGTCTGTCCTTTCTTCAGATAGTTCAAGTTTCTGTAGCACATGCAGTGAAGAGTTTACATATGGAAGTTATACATCTGCAACAACTAAAACATTTCCAGAAGAGCCTTGTGCCTCTGTAGCTGACATTTCAGTAAGGCAACCACCTACATCTTTAAAACGACCTTCTGCCCATGTGGAAAGAAGAGTTGTTGAGAAAACATATCACATGAAAGGATCACCTTCTGCCCATGTAGAAAGAACAGTTGTTGAAGAATCATATCACATGACAGGACCACCTCCTGCCCATGTGGAAAGAACAGTTGTTGGAAAAACATATCACACGAAAGGACAATCTATAACTTCTGAGCTCAAATGTCATAAAACCAGCATGACATATGCATACCCTAGGCTCAGAAGTTGTAAATCAGATAGTTACCTCTTAGCATCATTTGAAACAGGCACAAAAAAATCTAAGGATGCTACCACTGAAACAGATGGCTTACAGAGTCCATACTTGGCTGATCAGAAAGCAAAAGCTGAAATAATGAATTTAAAGAAGATTTTTGTTAACTTTAAATGTCACTTAAAAGGGGAAACTGAATTGATTTTAGAAAGTATCTTTCAAGAAATAATGTCTGATTTAACCCAGGCCATTCCCTCTATTTCTTCTGTTACTGCTGAAGTTTTTATTGACCAAAGTGAGCCTGAAAAAAGAGACTTGCCCCCCAGTGCTGATATCAGCTCAGTAGCTTCAGAGATTGTGGAAAATATGCTTGAAAAGCTACAGTCTGCCATTGAGAAAAAATGTGTTGAGATGATTACACAAGAAGATTGGTCACCCGACCTAAATCCAAGCTTAACACCCAGTGAAGAATGCCTTATTCCATCAAGTGGAAAACCTCTTACAGCTTCGCTGCCTTATGCTATGGACCCCATGTGTGATATTGCAGAGAATATGGTTCATGCCATTTTAGAAAAGCTGATGACACTTGCATCTTGTAAGCAGGATGAACTTCCTCATCTCAAAGATGCAACTAAACTTTCCTATCAGCAGCATATGACAGACCCAGCATGTACATTCCTTGGAAAAGCTGACAAAAGGAAATGGAGTCCTGAACCTGATGCAGCTAATTTAATTGTTAAAGAAGAAATACAAAATTTAATATCAAATATTTTTTCCCAGTCCTCTTTGGTTGGCTATATAGAGGAAGCAATCAGCACTATACTAGGATATGTACAAACTGAACTTAACAATGAGAGACTTACTGCATCTGAAGAAACAGTAGTATTCCTCCAGCTACTCGATGATATTTTCACACAGCTCCAGCGGAAGCCAGTAAAATCAGATGTTCAAAAAAGTAGACACTCTAGACTGAGAAATCTTTCTGACCCTTCTGACATGGAAGAAAAGTACAGACTAACTGGCACTAGATTATCTGGTGACCCTAGGTCTAGAAAACGATTTCCACCTATTAATGTTCCTGGTATGGTTCTTTATTCTGAAGACGATAATGAAGAAATAGACAAAATTGTGAAAAATGTGCTTGATTCATCTATTAAAGATGAAAAAGCAAAATCACAAGAACAGAACCCTGAATATTGGTTTACAAAAGGAAACACTTGTCCTGAATACAAAAGAAATAGAAAAGCACCCACAAAGCCGGCTTCTCCAAAAAACAAAGTTGCATTTTGTGAAGGGGGATTAAAGACTGAGTTACCACATTTTAATAAGAAAGCACTTTTAGAGAGAAAACCCTGTTCGAATAAGGACATTTTAATTTTTAGCCAAGATCAAAAGCTTCAGATACAAAAGGCTTCACAAAACGTAGTCAAAAGGATTTTAACAGAAATGGTTGAGGACTTATCTTCTGTTCCTCCCAGTCACTTAGGCATTGAAACTGGCCGAGAAGCTTCCGTTCTTGTTTCAGAAAAACCTCAAGGCCTGTCACTTCAAGAATGGATAGACCAGATGTTCTCTGTGTCAGAAATTAATACAGTGGCTCAAGAAATAACAGATGCTGTGTTAAATATACTTCACAAGGCATCGAGCTGCATTCCCAATAGCACCAAAAGCTCCATTTCATCCTCAGTTCATCAAACTTCTCCTGATAGCTCTGATACTCCAGATATGGTCAAAGAAGCACCAAGTAAAAAAACATTAAATATATGGTTTGACAGTGAAAAGAAAATGAAATATTTATCTTCACTCAACTTAGATCCTGCAAAACCTTCCTTGTTAAGGTCTGAAGAAAATAAACCTGTAGAAGACATTACTGATGACATCATTAATGCAGTGTTTAAAAAGCTGAAGTTGCTCATTTATCCAAAATTGAAAATGGGCTTCAAACCTTCACTTGCAGAGCAATCTTCACTGCACTCTCAACTTACTACTTACACAACTAAGGTAGTTAACATTGTTTTGCATGCTATCCAAAATGAATTGCAACTCAATGAGAAAAGCCTAAACCTTCAGGATACAGAACACACCAAATCCCGGACGGGTAAAGAATTTTCTGCTGACACTGATAACTTAGAATCCCTTGTCTCAAGTTTCAGTGATGACATTATGGCATCTCCATTATTAACTTGCATTTGCGAAATGTTATCATCAAGTGAACATTCGAATCAAAGCAGTATTTCACTCCCCTCAAATAAGTCAAAGCCTTCAATTTCCTATGGCCCTGACAATGTTGAAAAACAAAACACTTTGCCCAGTAGTCAAGATAAAAAATCTTTTCACCAATACTTAGCTACGCCATGTGCTCTCCATAGTTACCTTCATGGAACAGATCTCAGAGATAATGCCAGATTGGAAGTGTTAGATACTATTGGGGAAGTACTATATGAAATGTTGTGTAAGCTCATAAGAGTGCATCCTGACTGCCAGCTATCTTGCAGTAAGCTAAACAGAGAGAAGATGAATGAGAATCAGCAAACAGCTACTAAATTGCAGTCTAATATTCAGCTCATTTCCAAAACAATTTTGGAATATATCCTTGCAAAATTATGTAGTGTTGACATGGATACTAGTTTTGCAAGTTCTGGAATTAAAGCTGTCTCAGAGTTTCTTGATATCGATAGCCTGTCATTTGATTCAATTATTCAGGAAATGGCCAAATGCACTGACATAATCGCCAGCGTAGTTTCCAGGATGGTTCAGGAGAGTAATAAAAAGGGGGCTAAAAAAAGGGGGAAAACTGTTTCTTCTTCTGCATCTTCCAAAACAGGAAGCACAAAAGAAACACAGCCAAATAAACTGAAAGCTATGGCTTCCGATATTCTTAATACAGTTTTTGCTAAACTGGAAGGATTTGCCAATGGAAATTTAGAAACGCTGGATTCCATTAGTGATGAAAATAAAAAAAGCAATAAGATGGACTTAAAATGTGAAAGTCTCAGTGCTTTCACAGACACACGTAAAGAACTATTGCAGTCTGCGTTATACATACATGCAAAGAAGGTAGCAAGTACTATTTTGAAAGCTATTCAAACAGAATTAAATATGAATTCATTAGATTTGAGGACAAGTGCAAAAACCTCACCACCTGAGAAACAAATTCTTAAGAACATAGTCAATTTAATTTTAGATTTGGTATCTTCCGATATGTTCAATGAAACTGAATCTGAAGAGAGAGACATCGAAACTTTTCGATACAAACCAACTTATGGGAATTTTCTTCCAGGAGGAGCCGAGTCAGATTCATTTCTAGAAGACCCTGCACATATAGAGAAAGAATTTACTAGAGAGAGAACATCACTAAGAGAAGAAACTAAATCAGATTCTTTTAAACAATGGATTCTAGAAAGAACCTTAAACAAAATTGAAGTGAAACTGAAGGAACCAAGGAAGTCTCCACTCATTCCAATTATTAGAAATATTTTGAATGAAATTTTTCAAGGTGCTTTGGCCAATCAGTTAAATGTGCTTTCTCTCTCCCACTCTCATTTAGGTGGCATCCCTCACAATGTTGATGAGCCAATTGCTCAAACATCTGTTCCATTTACAGATAAAATGATGGATCCCTTAGTGTCTGAAGCAGATGTAGTCATAGTAGTAGATGATGTTGTTAGAACTGTATTTCATAAACTTTATTCAGTTGCCATGACACGGAGAAATGAAAGTGAAAATAGGTATAAAACCATCACCTTTTCAGCAAATGTTTCTTTTCATGAACACACCTATAGAGAAAAATCCTCTCTTACTGTCCTGGATGAGAATCCATGTGCTGTTCAGTCCAGAGTCAATACTGACAAACAAGTTAAAGTAAATGTAGCTGAAGATATTGTACAGACAGTATTAACAAATCTAGAAACTTTTGCTACTTCCAAAATAAAATCTCTCTTTCATCCCCAAATCAACTTCACAGTTCCATCAGCTTTACCTATTCATCAGGATAAGAGGACCTTAAGCCAAGTATTATCAGTCAAAGATTCATGCTCTAATGACCAGTTTTCTTGCTGTACAGTGGATCAGATTATGTCAGAAAAGACGAGCTCACGCCAGCTCTCTTTAAATAAATTAAATACACATGCAACAGAAGTGGCCAGAAAAATTTTACAAGGAATCAAACATGAGTTAGACAGAGAAAAGGAAAGTCCTTTCTTAACACATAATATTACGGTCTCTGAAGGTATTGCAAGTCAAATTGTCAATACAGTGTTAGATATTATATCATCTAAAAGTAAATGCGACAAAAACAATTTTGACAAAGAGCTTAATTCAGATCAGCAAGAAGGTATCATCGAAAAGATGTTTAATAAGACTGAATATCGAAACATACTTCAGTTTCAAATACAAGATGCCATCGAATGTATCTTATGTGATATTTATGAAAAAACACTGTATCAAAATAATCTCTCATTTGCCACGCCCACTCCAAAATATAATATAGCTGGTAAACTTTCTGAAGCAAATTCTGAAATGTACATGGAGGGTGTAAATAAGATTATTCCAAAACTTTCAGTTCCTAAATCAGATGTCATTTTGATGTCCAGTGATATTGTGGATATTGTTCTTCATAAGCTCCGTTCTGCTGTCATGCTTGGCATAAAAGCAGAGGATCCTGCTTCTGCAAGATTGCCCCTTACCTTTTGTGATATGTTTCCACAAGCAGAGAGTGGAAGAAAAACAGAATGTTTTTCATCTTCAAGAAACCTGAAATCAGCTTATGCTGTTGGTAGTCAGATAAGTGTAACAGAGAAAGAAGACACCAAGAACTCTGCTCCTGACCCATGTGAGGAAAATGCTGACTTCATTACTAAAACTATTTTTACGCAGTTAGAATCTTTTGCCACAAAAAGAGTAAATTCATTAATTACTCTTGCTTTCCTGCCTAAAGAAAAGTCATTTGTTAGTCTGGAACTAGAAACTTGTAAACAAGATGACAACATTTTTCATAAATCAAGCCAAACTGAATCAAATGTGAACGTCTTGAAAATACCCACTGAAACTCTTATCAGCCAAGAGCTCACAGATTCCACTTTTGCCAGTTACAGAGAAAAATTTGGGCCCACAATTCCTCTATCACAAGCTAGTCTTCAGGAATATGCTGACATCATTGCCAGTGTCATTTTGAAGCTTATTAAAAATGACTTAGACCTAGAAATCCAAAAGGCATCTCTATATCCAAACAATAATTCTTTCCAAGAAAACATCATTGTGAGTGACATTGTCAACGGTATCTTAAAGACTTTAAATGATAAAAGATCTGTAAAGGAAATTAGTTTTTACTCAAAAGACAATCCTAATTTATTTTCACAGTTAACTCTGTCAAATGAAATATTGTTGGAACAAAGAGAGCAGGAAGAAAACACCAAATTATCTCTGTTTTCACAGTATCCATTAGAACAAAACCAAATGACATTGGAAAAGGAAAGCCAGAGAATTGTTTTGGAAAAAATATTTATGAGAAATGGAGAATCAAAACAAAAAGAAAAAACTGCCTTGCTCAATGCAGTGAAAGAAGTTTTAAATAAAGTGTACCGACGAACACTGGATATTAAAGGCCATTTGCCCCCTTTTAATGAAACCCCCTACTTTGTATCTAATTCTAAAATTAAAACATCAGACATAACACAAAAAGACTTTTTTCAACCACATATTAACAGTGTAGCAGATGACATAATCGAAATTGTTTTAGGGGAAATGTACTCTGTAGTTGTGTCATCCTTATATGAAAGTAATAAAAAAGAAGAAGCCTCTGACAGTAATGATACTTTACCCAAGATTCCATTATGTGCCTCAGAAACTAAACAAACAGGAAAAGGAAGTGATTCCACTAGATATGGGACACAACACGTTTATCCTTATACAGGCAATGAAAATGTTTCTCTATTAGAAAACAGTTTTCTGCAATATTCACCACTGCAAGTGAGGAAAGATTTGGTCCAAACAGTTCTCAATAAGATCACAGACTTCGCTTCATTTCATCTAAGAGAAGCTTCACATCCTGAAGGTTGTTCTGATGACTTGCAGCCTCTAAGTCTACATAGTTTTAAAGTGGGCCCTAAGGGCATCCCCCAGACAGGTTTTAAGACAAATTTAAAAGCAAAATCAAAAGTTACTCCTTTGCCTAAATTTCGAACCAAACCACACCTAGGACTTAGTAGCATAAAGGCCAAAAGCAAGACCAAGTTAGGACCTGGGGAGAAGACTCCGAAGGTCAGCCAGTCCAAGACCGCCACTGGGCAGCCGCACATGCTAACAGCAGGGGACGCCCACAGCTTACTAGAAATGAACCTGCCGGCTTCAGAGCTCAAAATGTATGCCAAGCGTATAGTAAGTAATATCCTGGAAACAACTATGACAGAATTTGAAAAGGCGACGCACACTAGAACCATGGTAAATGTGAAAGCTCTACCATTCAATGAGATCGCGGCAGCAGGTAGCATAGTTAATACAGTTTTGCAAGGATTATATGCTACAAATAACCACAGTTTGGCTCATCCAATCAAATTCTTACATCTGGATGACCTCCAGCATTCACAGGGCAATACAGGTACCAAGTCTCTTGCCAAAACACAAGCATGTTTTTACTTGGAAAATGTTTCTTCACAGCTAGAACAGATTTTTCCTAAAGACGGTATATTTAAAAAAATGTTTGACAAATGGCAAGCAGAATCAAATGACATGGAAAGTGAAAAATGTAACTTATTGATGATAGCTGAAAATGTTTTGACTGCAATTTCAGTGAAAGCCAAAGAATTAGAATATTCTCTTTCACTTTTAAGTTTGCCACATCTTGAGGACTGTGAAAGTAAGTTCCATAATTGTTTTAAAAGAACTTCTACCAGAGCTGAGGATACCAAAGCACAAATTAATATGTTTGGAAGGGAAATTGTCGAAATGCTGTTTGAAAAATTACAGCTGTGCTTTTTGTCCCAGATACCCATCCTAGATAGTAAAGAAACTCTAGCAAGTAGAAAGTGTAGTTTTCCAACCAAGGAGAGCCTCAGCAGTGTACCCGTCTACAACATGAGCACAAAAGACCAAATGTCTTTGGCTGCTAGCAAGCAAATTGTTCAAGAAATTGTAGAAAGGGTTTTAAACATGTTAGAGTCATTTGTAGACTTGCAATTTAAACATATCTCTAAATATGAGTTTTCTGAAATAGTGAAAATGCCTATAGAAAACCTTTTCCCTGTCCAACAGAGACTAGTAAGCAAAAGGATGTTGCCAAAATTACAACCATTAAAAAAGTTTTCTGATGACTACTCTAAATCAAGTACTATTATTTCTAAGGAAAATGTACAGAATACTCTTCTACATGTTCATTCATTCCATTCAGAATTACTTACATATGCTATTAATATCATCAGTAGCATGCTTGGTATAATTAAGAATGAGCTAGATAAAGAAATAACTCAAACAGAACCATCATCAATTAGCATATTGAACGAGAACATTGCAGCAAGTAAGATCATTGGCACACTGATAGACCAGTGTACTTATTTCAATGTATCTCTAATCAAAAAACTTCCCATGGAAAGTTTGTTCCCAGGAGTGGAAAATACCTACATTGTTAATCAGGTTGAACTGGCAACTAATATGAAAATTCCCAGGTCAAAGTTAAAGCAAGTTAGTTTTGTGAATAATCTTCCACAAATCAGTGTACCTGGTTTGGTAGTTCATTCTGCAGAAGATATGAAAAAAAATTATAGGGCATCATCAAATTTATCTTCATATGACAGAGCCTCTACAGAAGACCCAATTAAAAGCTCAGAACCAATGGAAAGGCCTGATTCAGGAAATATACCAACATGCTTTAGAAACAAAGTACAAGACTGTGGAGCAAGGGAATGGCTATTTGATCAAGCCACAAAAGGAAATAGCTCCCTTCCTGAAGGCAGTATCTTACAAAAGCTGTTTAGAAAAGTGAATGAATCTACAGAAGAATCACTAAAGCAAAGCATGTCATTCATAGAAATGGGAAAAGGTGGAAATCCAAAAGTGTTTCATTATGAGGCCCTAAAACCGGTTGTTGAACCGAACCAAACTCAAAGTATATTGACAGCTGTTTCTCCACTCAAAGTATACTTAGCTGCAGAAAATATTGTCGATACTGTGCTGGCAAGCTATGGTTTTCCAAGTCAACCACCCAGTAATGAAAGCATGGAAACAATGAAGGCTTTTTTCATAACAAAGCAAAACCCTGGAGGACAAAAGAATGAGAAGAAAGGTTTGCTAGGAATGTGGGATAAAAGAATCAGCTGTATACCTGAAGAGAAAAACAAAAACTCTGAAGCAAGCAGGGGAGATTTTTCTTTATTGCAAAAATGGGAAAATATTAAGTATCCAAAGATAAAGACTCTGAAAGAATTTGAAGTCATTGCTTTTGCTGATCATGAACTGGGTCCAAATGAAATTAATTTGGTAGCAAGGCATGTAACCACATCTGTGGTCACGTATTTCCAGAACTTCAAAACTAGAGGTAAGCAAGAGATAACTTACTTTAAAATTGGCATGATTTAGAAAAAAAAATAGAAATGTCTAAATATCTCCTGTCCCAAGAAGCCACATTTACTGTTTTTCTGAAAACAGCCTTGGTTGGAGCTGAGGTATTTAATACTCCTTAATACATCAGGATACTTAAAAAAAAAAAAAAAGTTAAACACATCGTTTGAACCTGAAAAGGGTCCATTGCAGATGAGAGAAAATGGGACTATAATAAAGCAGTGTTGAGCATGAGGTATGAGTTCCAAAGAGTTTTTAAAGTTCTCATGCATGACTTCTTTATACCAAAGCCAAAGTCAATTGATTGGAGGTTAGTTATTTGTCTTTTCAAGGTGTACAGTTGAAATCTTTGCCATTATCATTCACAGTTTATAAGAACGGTGGTGTTAAACATCTTGTTTTGTTTATGTAGCAGTATTCTTGAATTTCTTTGAGGTATAATACTCTAAACATATTCTTCCAAGGATATTTTCACTCCTTTTCTAAGAATGCTTGTCTGTACATGTTAGAGTGAACTACATGTAATAGCCATTTTTCGAATGTGCAAACCTGTTGATTATTAACAATTTCATAAAATGGAATCTAATAATACTATAATAGACCATAACTGGAGCAATAATTCCATTTGCCAGTAAGTGGTTGCTATATTACTAGTCCAGATAAATCACTTGCCCAACATTCAAGTAAGAGAGCATATTACCAGTCCTAACACCCACAGGAAGAGGTAATTTTCCATTCTTACAATTGGCATTTTTTTCAAGGTGGACAGCTGTGTGACTGCAGCTCCAAGCTCATAAACAGATTTTCTCCAAAACTGAACTTAGTAAAAAACAAAACAAAACTAACAAAAGAGGATTCATCATTCCATCCCATTGACATTTGCTGTTCTATCAAATCAATCCTCTATTCTTGGACATGTCCAGGACCTTCTAGTGGTTTCACTCAGGTTACTTCTTTCCTGGGGAATATTCACTCCTCGCTCCACTCATCTCGATGTGGGCAAATCTTGTCTGAGCAGTCAAAGCCCAGCAAAAAGCCTCCCACCTCGCAAAGACTTGCCTGATTCCACATGCAGAGAGGTACAATAGATGATTAAGTTCTGAGGAAGTTTTGAGACAGAAGAGTTGCTCTCGCCACCATTCCAAGAAGTTAGCCATCCCAACCAGGCACACGATTTTCAGTAAATATTCTGTAGAATGGAAGAAAGAATAGAGCCTACGTTGTGCTGGTTTGGTCTTCCATTTTTGTGAAAAACTGCAATCTAGAGGTGAAGGTACTACTGACATAGTCATCTATCCCTTACATTTCTCGAGTTAGCACACTTTTATTTTGGTCAAGTTGTTGCTGCAACGCAGCTCCTCAGTTTCCTAAAAGTAATACGTAAAATAACATTAAATGTTTTGACTAAAATTATTCCTTATGTAATTATATGAGGTCTCTGTAGATCACTGCAGAAATGCTAGTATATAAAACTCAACTTGAAAATCATTTTTCTACCCCAGAATTTCCAACTTCTTAGAGTCCATAACCATCTAAGCAAGGCAGATATCAGCACTTGACAGAAGTTTGAATTCCCTAGAATTCTTTTACCAACTTTCTAGCTAAAATTAACATTCTGCAAGATGGAAAATAAATACTGGAAGAAAAACCAATTTTTTTCTTGACTATGTTTTTCTTTTTCTTTAGTTAGCTGTTCCAAAGATGAGATTTTTATGTAAATAATTATCGATATATTGCATTTTCCATATTTCTCTTACTGCGTGCTAATAATTGTGTTCTCTTTTTAAGTTTCCAGTGAAAAGATGTCTATTGTTTCTACACTATCAAGGACAAAATACAAATCAAAACAGCCTCCAAGAAGCCTATACAGTGATTCTTCACTTTATCAATTTTGTGAACATCTCACTGAGTCTGTCATTTACCATTTAAGTTTAAGCATTTCTGATAGCACCAAAGATGGTAGAGAAAAGGAGAAAGCATGGGAAAGCCAAAATGCAGAATTTAACAAGATTATTTTAATTTATTCTGAAGTGTTTGAAAACAGGTCAATTCTTATTGGAGAACTTGCTTTAAGTATTTCTGAAATCATTACTAAAACCCTTTTTAATAGTAGCATTATAGAGGCTGACATGGAACAGCAAATTTGTTCTTTAAAAACAAAGTACATTTATTGCCCAGGAATAGCTGCTGCTGACTTTGATAATCTCTTTCAGGATCTCTTAATAGGAGTGATTCATATACTGTCAAAAGAAATAGGAATAACTCATCACGTTGAAAGCAATAGAAGTAAATCATTTTCTATGCTCAGAAGCAATAGTGTCCCAATTTTCAACAAAACAAATACCATGAAAAGACAGATAGGTGGCAGAGATTGGGAATCATCTACTCAGCAAAAGGATCCTCTCATTCAAAAAAATAAATTAAATTATCTTGCATATAAGTTAGACAGGCTAGTTAGCAACCTAGAAACTTGTGAATCCAAAGAAGTAGTCAATAAAGTCTTCAAAATTGTTTTAGATTTATTTTCTCCAGATGAACACGCAGGTGACACTATGGATTCTGATAAAAAAGCAAGAAAATTTTCCTCATTCTTGAATGATCAGCAAAGTAATAGCATACTTGGAAATAATTTAGGGCTCACCCCCAACTCAGTTTTTCTTCTCAATGTTGTGTGTCAGAAACTTATTAGGACACTTTTGGAAAAATGCACAAGCACTGTCTTTCTTGATAATGACTCTCCTTCTGATGAAATATCAGCAGAAGAATGTAAACTTTTAAAAATACTTCAAAGTGTAGAAGATGAAGAATTTGATTGTAAGGGAGCAATGGACCATGAACAATTTCAAGGAGGTTATATGTCAGATCTTTTGGAACATCTGGCAAAAATGGACCAAGATTTATTGTCATCAGACTCTATGCTCACTCTCATTTCCCACAGTTTGGTTAAATCGTTGATGAACAAATTGTGTCACGGTATGCAACTCCCCCAGAGTCCACCTACTGCTAACAAGCATTTAAAATATAGAACAGGAGAAATACAGTCTAGTTTTATAAAAGCAAACAGGCCAGAATTAGCAGAATTAGGTCAAGGTACAAGTTCTTTAGGATTCATGCATTATGACAGTACTGCTTTGACAGGAGCCCTGAATAATCCCAGTATGGTTAGCTCCACAACACAAGCAACATTTGGCAAGAAGTGTTCAGTGAATTCCTCTTCTGTGTCACCTTTTAAAAGTCAGGGAACAAAGGGTATGGATACAATAGCCATCCACAATAAACTAAATCTGGGAGATATGAATACAGGAGTTTATTCAGCCACATTTTTAGAGGAAATAATTTCGGAACTGTTTTTTAATCTCTCTACTTCATTGTGGGGCAAAAATGAAAACATTACTGAGGCCCAGCTTAATGAGATGAATACATTATTTGTCAACAACGTAGTGAATGAGTTTAATAATGCACATGTCACTGTTTTACGGAATGCTGAAGAAAGGCTGTGTTTTCCACCAGTCCATAAAGAAACTGTTAGTAGGATTGTTGACTCAGTTTATTATGATGTTTTACAGAAATATAAATTGAAAGTAAGCTGCGGTGGTAACGTGGCACATGACAATACCTCAATGGCAGAACAAATAACTAATGGCATACTATTAGAGACTTTGGACTACCAACTCCCATCTTGCATCAGGGAGAAGCTTATACCTAATTTATATTACCCTCTCAAAGCTGAAATAATACTGCAGAAACTACAAAATAACCTGAGAGAATTTACTTCTAAATCCAGGTCTTCAACATGCTATAGCACAAGGTTGTCACACTCATTTTTAGAAGATGTCATCAGACGACTTTTATCTCAACTCATTGTACCACCCAGTAAGCCTTCTTCTTTGAGTAAAAAATATTTCATGAGTTCAGATTTTAATGAAATGTCTAACTGCATAATAAAGAAGGTTATATCAGCCATTTCCAAACATAAAATTTGGTTCACCATGTATGATAGTCAACATCTATGTACAGGGAAAAACCTCCAGAAGATGGTGGATTCCATTTATAGTAATATCATGCAAACATCTGACTCTCTTGTTTCAGTACAGAAAAGTATAGTCTGCCGAAGCCCAACTATGGTTGACCGGATAGCTAGTTTTATTATCCAAGAGGTTATTGAAAATCATCTTCAACCATTTTTGTGTGAAGAAGGTTCGCCTCGTCCAAATACTCCATTGGATGCAATATCAGACATGGTTAAACAGGTCCTCAGTGAAGTCATAGAGTCACATGGACCCAAGACACTATCACATGTAGGTATTTACCCTGACATATTCATTGGGGAAATTGTTGCCAGACTTTTATCAAAGATTTTCAGTCCAAAGCATAACGCTGAAATTGAGCTGGAAAACATTACACAAAAAATAGTGAACTCAATAAATAGCCATTTTGACAAAGCTAAAATTCCTATTCTATGTGATGGCAAAGACCAGCAGTCTTACCCCTCTGTCAACACAGACATTGTGGATGAACTTGTCACCTCAGTTTATAGAAATGTTTTAAAACAGCATGGTCTAGACCCTGAGTTTGATAAAGAGACTACAGAAAGTGAAATTTTTGTGGAAAATATTACCAATTTAATTGTAGCAGCTATTTCAGATTGCCTTCTTCATCCACTGTTTTCTGGGGATTTGTCATCTTCCTGTTCTATTTCCACAGCTGAGAATATACTTCAGGATATTATTAGTAGTATCAATACATCTACAAGGCCAAGTCAGAGTTTATCTCTATATAACACCTTGCTGCCTTACAAATTTTTAGAAGACATGATCAGAGTATTATTATCTAGAATCTTTCCTTCTGCATTTAACACTGTCCTGAACACAGAAACTCTAAAAGATAGATCAAAAGTGAATTTCAATGAAATTGCTTCAAATATAATCAGTGATATTAGGATGAAAATTTCTCAACATGAAATTCACTTTTCAAAAGATGGAGAAGAAACCACGTTTGTTTATTCAGAAGATGATGTTCAGCATCTTGTTGACTCAGTATTCAAAAATATTTCACAAAACTCCGAGTCTGAAGAATCAATTGAGCAAAATATCACAGGAAGTAATGATGTTCTTATTGATAGAATAGCAGGTTTCATCATTAAGAATATTTGTCAACAACATCTTCAGCCATTTCTGGATGGAAAGTCATTGCCTTCATCATCATACACATATCTAGACAATGAGACAAGGCAGTGGTTTTATACCAGTGTTTATTCCTCAACTTTTTTGGAAGATGTTGTCTCTGGAGTTTTGTACAAAATATTCCACAGGGTGTTAGGCATTGTACAGACAAAATCAGTAAGAGATTTAGAAGATGAACTTTCTGATAAAGCTGAAATACTCATACATTTGATAGCAGAGGAATTCTCAAAAGCCCAAATTAGCATTATAGAGAATGCAGAGGAAGAGTTGTGTTTGCCTCCAGTGGAGAGAGATATAGTCAAAAACATTATTGATGTGGTGTTCAGCAAAGTTTTGCAAGAATATGATAAGGAAATAATGGCCAATAATGACTTTCTAAATGATGCAAAGACACTGGCTGCAAGGATAACTAAAATCATGCTAGCTGAAATTTCTGATTTCCAAATTCATCCAAATATTATAGGAAAGCTTCCTTTTCAGTCACTCTCCAAACTAAATGTTAATGTCTTGATAAATAGAGTTCAATGTGACATTACTAAATCAAGATTCCGAAGACAGGCATCAACACTATATACAACTAACTTATCACATACTCAGTTGGAAAAAATTGTCACTCAACTTATATCTCAACTGAGTCCATTGGCCTCCAGTGCAGAATGCATAGATACTTCCCAATCAGACTTAAGTAATGCAGTCATAAAACTGATAAATGAAATTATATCAATAATTTCAAAACATGCAATATGTATTATTAAACATGGCAATGAAAAACAAAATATGATTTCAGAGAAAGATATCCAGTCTATGGTTGATTCCATTTATGCTGATCTTTCATATTCAAATCTCTACCAATCTCTTACAAAAGATAAAAAAGATATAAGTAACATTCCTGTTTCAAAAATGGCAAGTTTTATAATAAAAGAAATATTTAACCATCATCTTCAGTCATTTTCATCTGGAGATAAAACTTTCATTTCATCTTCATTTGATCAAAATGATAGACAAAAAGCAATCGATCCTAAACAAAGAGAGTTGTCTTTTATTGTGAACTCAGCTGTCTTTCTGGAGGAAGTAATTTCTGAACTTTTATGTAAACTCCTTTATGCATTCTCACATAATGTCTTGGCTGCTGAAAAGCCAGATACAGTAAAAGTCAAAATTACTGGCATTGTTACAACATTAGTAAAATCAATTATTCTGGAGTTCACCACATCAGAGATTTTAGTTGCAGATTATTTTGATGATGGTATGTGTTTTTCAGAAAGATACAAAGAAATGGTTCAAAAAACAGTCAACCAAATTTATGAAAAAATATTAGATGAATATAAATCTCTGATTCAAGTATATAGAGCTATACAAAGTGACACCATTTGTTTTGGAAGGAAAATATATCATTTGCTGCTGGAAGAAATTTATGATTATCAGGTGCAATCATTAGTTTCAGGAGAATTAGTGTCTTCTTCCTATACTTCCCCTAAAGCTGATAATATCATCAGAAAAGTGCTAAATGTCATCTTGAAGGATAGTCACACCTTCCCATCATGTATTACTGTGCTGCCTCGCTCTCTTTTAGAAGATATAATTTACAAGCTTCTAGTGCATTTCTTCCCTTCAGCTGACACCGAGAGTGAGCTAAAAGAGGAAGATGTTTCACCAGGTTATGAGTTTGCGGATGCAGCTTCAAAACTGACTGATGAAATTATCAAAGAAATTTCTGAACATGAAATCCGTATTGCCACGGCAGAAGACAATGCAGAAAGTACGCAATTAGAAGTGATTGAGAATTTGGTTGACTCTATGTGTGGTAATATCTTGAAAAAATCTGAATTTCAAGCTGAAGTGAGGAAAGATGCAGACAAAAAAGGGGGCTCATTCCTCAGTAAAATAGCTGGTTTCATTATGAAGGAAATCATGGATCATCACCTGCATCCATTTTTACATGGTGAAGAATCCTCTTGTAGTGATTATGACCATGTCTCTGTACTTACCAAACCTGGTGAACAAAAGACACAGACTTCTCTATATTCAGCTACATTTTTGGAAGATGTAATTGTTGACCTTGTTCGCAAACTGTATTCTCTTCCAAGTATTACTAAATATTTTGAGAAAAAAGAAATGCCAGAGACAGATATTGTGAGCTTGGCTATAAAATTTGCAAATTCTCTGATAGGAGAATTTAGGAAAAATGAAATTAAAGTTCTACAAAATGCTGAAGAAGTGTTTTCTTTTCCACCAATTGATAAAGAAACAGTTGATAAGATATCCAATTTTGTGTATGATCAATTCATAGGAAAGTGCGAGTCTAATGAAATTCAGAAGGATGATAAAAGTAACAGTGTAATAGAAATGATTGCTGATGTAGCCCAAAAGGCAATCTCTGCTTTCAAGATTCAGCCACTTTTTTCAGGAGACTGGTCATCCACTTTCTTTTCATTTCTAAATCCAGAGAACATTACACAAAGGGTTCAACACCTACCACAGAAAACCTCTGCACAGAAGAGAAGTGCAAAAGGAAACCAAGTTACTTTTTCAGAACAACCATATGAACACACTTCTCCTCCAACCTCAGACCAGAACAATTTGTTGGACACTTTGAAAATAGATAGAACTGAAATGAGTAGAAAGAAAAGTTTCCAAACTGAGGAGACATCTATTAAAAAAGGCGACATTCAAGATCCGAAGGTTACCTCTATAACTGGAACTCTGAAAGACAACACTGTAAACCTGTGTTTGGGGCCGGCTTCAGGGTCGGCTGCAGGAGTGACAAATAAAAAGAAAGAGAATGAAAATAAAGTGGCAACTTCAATTAAAAAATATACTGGGAACGTATCAAAAGTTACATCTCCAACTACTAGTGTGAAAAGTAAAGATACTCAGGAGCCAGATTTTGGGGTAACACTTAAAAATGATGAAACCGAGAAGAAACACAAATCAGCTTCAAAAGACAAAGAGAGGCAAGGTAATGAGGTACACACACAAATTCTAGCAGCTACTAATGATACAGAGTTTAAAGAGGAAGTACTTGGACCAGACTTTGAAATAAACAATGAAAAGATTGGCAAAACAAGAGAAAATGTATTTAAAAAAGAAGAGAAGCCCTTTCAGTTAGCTTTGACACCCAACGGAAGAGATGCAGGGACCACAACAGAAACAACAGAGAAAACAGCAACCCTAAAGCCGAACATTGAGGCGAAAAACGACAATCCACCTCTAACAAATATAAATGAGAAATACTCAGGTCATGAATGTGTTCAAAATGTCACTGAAAATATTTATGGCAATATCTTAGAAGTAGGTTTTTCTCAAGACTCAGTAGACAATTCACATCTTCGAAGTCCCTTATGTGATACATTTTCTGTAACTCAAGAGGTTAGTGAGGATATCGCACAACCTGTTTCAGTAAAGGACTTATCCCTGTCAATTAGTGAAAATCTCCCCGCCAAAGAGAAGGAAAAAGAGAAAGAGAGAGAGAATGAAATAGAGAAAAAACAAGAGAAAGAAAAAGAGCCAGTGAAAGTTAAGGTGATTAAAAGTGAATCTAGTAAACTAGACAGTCCTCGGGATCCACCAAAAAGTAAACCTGGAATTTTTCCTGCTAAATTTTTAGAAGATGTTATCATCGAAATGATTAACAAATTGATCTTTTCTACCTCACCAGAAACACAAGGTAGGTGTCAAAGTGTGAGTGATGACCAAAATCAAGCTGAACTCTATGACACAGCTATGAAGCTTATTGATTCACTGTTAAAGGAGTTTTCAGAGGCTCAAATTAAGGTATTTAAGCCAAATAAGGAAAATGAGTCTTTTCCACCAGTAGCTAAAGTGTCATCAGTTTCTAAACTTCCTCACAAGCATAAAGAATCAACTACAGATGAAGCATCATCTAACACTAAGAAAATAACTGTGGATAAAATGCCACATATGCATAAAGTAACTAAAAAATGTCCTCCAAATAACATATCTTTCTTAGATAGAACACCATCAATCGATAAAACTTTGGTTAACAAAGTTGTTCACTCCTCTGTATGCAGTATTTTGAAGGAATATAAATCTCAAGACTCCATTTGTAAGAATATAAAGAACAATGGGAAATATTTAGCAAGAAGATTAACTAGTGCACTAGTAAATGAAATTTGTGAACATCAGCTTAATTTGCTCTTTTGTGATAAGGTTCCAGCTTCAGCATGTTTGCCTCTGGAATCTAAGGATGTTGTTAAGAAAGTCCAAAATGCAGCTCAAACAGCCAGCAAAGAATGTCAAACGTCATCACCATATACCATCATGCTGCCTCATGAATTTTTAGAGAATGTGATTTCTTCTCTATTATCTAAAATTTTCTCCATAGTATCCAAAACCAAAGCAGAAACATCTGAGGGCAACTGGCTCACGGAACTTGATTTCCTTCAAATGAAGTTATTAAGTACAGTCACAACAGAGATCTCCAACGATGAAGATATGATTATTCAGTACGTGGAATCCTTACATCCCAATGATGATGAAATTATTCAATTAGTGGTTCATTCTATTTATAATAATCTCTTGGCACAGTTTGGATCACAAGAGATTATACAAAATTGTGTAGCAAGTGGATGCAGAATCCTTTCAGAAACCATAGTTGATTTAGTTTTACGGGAAGTGGCTGGTAATCAGTTGCAGAACTATTTTTCTGGAGAGCTAACTCCACACCAGTGTGCAGAAGTTGACAGCATTGTTGAAAATATTCTTAAAAATGTTATACATGCTACTGATGTTCCCCAGGCACAACCATCGCATGCTCATATACTGCCTTATGACATAATAGAAGAAATTGCTGTAAAGTTTTTATCAAAGCTTTTATGTATGTTTCCAAAAGTGGATAAGGAAAGACACAAATCTCTACCAACTGAAATGCAAAACATAGCTACAAAAATATTAAATTCAATACAAGAATTTATCTCAAAAAGTAAGATTAAACTTATACCACCAGCAAAGGAATTGCCTACTGTAACTTTAGCTAACAATGCAACTATTGAAAGAGTAGTTAATTCTGTTTATACCAGTGTTTTAAACCACTCTGGCTCACATACTTCTATATTCAAAGATTTAATGGGGAAGAGCAATGTCCTCTCTGATATAATAGGATTTTTAGTGGTGAAGGAAATTTCCAATTCTGAATTTCAATCACAAGCAAAGGAAGAAGTATCAAGCTCAGAATCAGTTCTGGAAGCCGTCAAAATTATGGAAAAAGTGGTCAAAATTCTTAATGAATTTAAGTCCCAGGAAAAGTCTTCATCTGAAAAAGGTTCTATGCTAGATACTGCATTTTTGGAGGAAGCATTGGCCTTATTCTTGGCTAAAATAATAAGGTTGCCTAGTGCCTCAAGCAAAGATGCAAAAAACTTATCAAAGCCTGAGTTAAATAAAATTGCATCTCAACTGACAAAATCTGTGACAGCTGAAATTTCCAAAAGTAATATTAGTCTTGTTGCTGCTGATCCTGAAGAACAGTTTTTAAATCCAGAAAGTGTAGAAATGATTTCTCAGGTTATTGACTCTATTTATAGTAATGTGCTGCATCAGTCAGGAACCCATGAAGATCTTTACTATGATATAAAAGGTGCAAACAGAGTCTTCCCTAAAAAAGTAGCTAGTTTAATCATTAATGAAGTTTCAAAATTTCCAGTAGACACAGATGACTCAAAGAATTCAAATGCTGATCTCTTTGGAGATCTAGACCTTAATAAAATTGTTGAAAAGGCACAAGAACATGCTTGTAAAATGATCCCTGACGTGGAAAAAGAAGAGTCAGATCAAGGTTCAATTGGAGGGGAAGTGCCACTTAAAATAGTTCCATATATTGGGAATAAACCAGTCAAAGTAGATCCAGACATTATTTCAGACCACTTAGCAGTAATTTCTATAAAAACTCAACCTCTTGAAAAACTTCAGATGGAGTGTTTAAGAAACACTGGACATAGCATAGCAGAAGTGAGAAGAGCATCAATAAATGGGAGAACTTACTCTTCCTCAGACACATCTAATATGGGAAGGACAAAGAGAGAAAGGCGTACCTCATTGAATAACACAGGACGACTGAATATAAAACCCTTAGAGGTAAGTGCAAAAGCAACCATAGAAAAACAGGTGAAGTGAGACATGGTAGTTTTCTGATTCCCTTCCTCAAATAAGTATTTTGGAATGCATTTTTTGTTGTTGTTGTTATTGCCCAGTCTGATAGGAGGAATGGCTGTACTGGTTCGTCCATGTAGTCACATGACTTACTGGACTTGACCTATCTGTGGGTTACTTTAAAGGTCTCAGGCTAGTGTTCTTAAGATAGTCAGTTTAAACTTGCTTTTAAAAAAGTTATATAATAGGAATATATGGACATACCCTTAATAATAACATCAAGCTAACCGATTAAAATTTTCATTTGAAGATTCAGAAGAAACATAGTCTCACGTAGTTCCTATAGTTTTTTCTTTCTTTTTTTTGGATATCTAAAAGTGTTTAGAAGGGCCAGTTAGAATATCAGGATATATGAAGTTTTAAAAATATATATATGTTTTAATTTCTCAAACTTAAGGCTCTATAGCAGTAGTACTCTTTTAACAACATTTATCAACAAACATTAGATTACAAACTCAAGTTATACTTGTTTCTTACTATTTTCACTTTAATTATATTAACTTTTTTCAGTTTCTTCTATACTCGAACAAAGTACCCAGTTCTTTCTTCTTTTATCCTTGTTCTAGATCCAGCGGCTCTAATGCTGACATTTTTATGAACCCATTTCCTGTTACCACAGACCTAGTTCTGCATAGGCCCCAAATATATTAAACTAATCAGGACTTTAAAATGCCAAAATGATGTCGTTGTTACAAGGAAACTATATCACCAAGGACAAAGGGATTATCTGGGCAATGGAGTTACTCTGATCTGCTACACGTTTTGATTTTTATCAAAGCTCTTCATACTCATGGTGTTTGTTCATAAGAGCTCTAAGCATGTTTAGATATATAATCTGTGGCCTGGAAAATGAGAAAAAAGTTATAGAACCATTCTCCCCTGGGGCATAAACTTAAAGTGGATTTTCTCTAGCACTGCCCTGCTGCCCACTGAACTAAGCCTCAGGGCTGGTAAATACACATATGTTAATGAGTGCCTTACATTTTCAAACCCAGACACTGACACACTAATTTCATCTCTTTTGTCCTAAACCTTTTGGACTAGATGACAGTTCTTTTCAGCTCAAATATTTGCTATTCCATATGAGTTCTCATCACTGTATTAGCATATTATTTGGTAGTCTTCATTTATATACAAGTAATCTCTTAAGAGTAAAATTTGTATGGCCAGACTGTAGAATAATGACTCAAAATCACTTTTTAGTTACCTGTAGAACTTTCTATCACAAATTTTACACTTATTTACCAGCTCTCTTTGCTTAATTCATTTATAGACCCTAGAAAGCAGGAAGGAAATAATTTAATCAAGTAGTTGCCCTGTCATCTTAAGGGAAAGAAAAGTCATCCTAAAAATAAAAAAATAAAGAAGCAGACATAAAAGGAGGAACCCCCAAAAACAGAATTATCTTCTGGAGGGCAGGCCCCTTGTAGTATAGGCTTCCCCCACTAGGTGAGTGTTCTAGGAACCCACCTGTATCAGTGTACCAGCTGGTGTTGAGACAGGCTGTGTTCAGCCTCTGTGAAATTTTTTTGAAGACTTACTCAACATTTTTGCCCATTTCATGATGGGTGATTTACAGTGTACCTGCTCACACCATGCTGAGTGTTCAACAGTTTTGGACCAAAAATGGCATGACCCCTGGGTCCCACTCTCCCTATTCGCCTGATCTTGCTCCAGTAACATTTTTTTTTTTAATTTTCCTTGGATAATAAAAGGGAGACCTCAAAGGGAAACATTTTGCCAATGTAGAAGAGGTTAAACAAAAAGCAGCAGAAGTACTAAAAGGCATCAAAATCAAGGAGTTCAAAAACTGTTTTGAGCAATGGAAAAGAACATCTTGATAGGTGTAGTGCATCAAATGGAGAGTACTTTGAAGGTGACTGAAATTTAAACATAGAAGAATAAATACAGTTTTTTATAAATCAACTCTGTTTTTTGGGGGGGGCCTCCCCTTATAGCAAACTCTGTTAAGGTATGTGATTTGTACTAATTGAGATACCAATACTGTCTATCTCCAGCATAGAGGAAGAGAAGAGACAAAGAGCAGTAAATTAGATCAGAGAACCCAGATGCACGTTGGCTTCTCCTCAATGCTGTACTATCTTTTTTTGGGGCACCATGATTTCCCAGCACACTAACCATATACACAATGGATATGGAAGAGGGTATATGGGGGGGGTGAATGATAATGGAAAACTAACAACAAAAATGAACTATGTAAAAAATTGTTAATTAAAAAGTAAAAAAATATATAACAAATTTCAAAGCCATATAGAATGATTTCAGATTTTCTAAACCACTGGTTCCCTCCACTAATACAGAAAATCAAACTTGATTGTTTTAATTTCTTATGGAGGCAGTTTCTATAATTTATTTTAACAGAACATATTCTTTCAGGGCACCGTTCTCTGAAAACTGGCTTACCATGTTACAAAGACATGGTGAGGTCTATGATTATTAACTTAAGTCAGTTTGGAGGTTCTGTGGCATCATCAAAGGCTACAGGAGTGGGGAAGTTCTATATTGAATTATAGTTGTTTTTGAACTGTTGTAGTCATTGAAAATAGAAAATGAGATTTGATTAGGGAAGTGAGATTATGTCCAAAGGATGAGGAGTTAAAGGAGATGAATGAAGAAATCAAAAACGTCATGCTTTTGGTTATTCATTTTTCAAAAGTCAATATTAAATAATAATGAGATTTTTTATTTTTTAAAAACCATGTTTCTGTATGATTTCTTATCTAGAATTTTAGAAAAACAGATGATCATGTCTACTGTCACAAAACTTTAGAAGTAAATGTTCAAAAAGTAAATTATGATGCAATAAAATATAAAGTTTAAGAAAAAAGGAACTGTGTTAGGCCTTCTATACTTTGAAATGTTATGGTGGATTAATGTGATCTCTGAGTGTAAAAGAAATAATAGACACAAAATATTTCTTATAAATTTTCTTATAATTTTCATTTGTAGCTTCTTAAAACATTGCTAACTACAAGCGAGTGGCATGTGAATACCACTCAATATTACCTAATTGAAACGAAAAATCATACTAACTTAGTTATATTACAATAGAACCATAGGAAAAGTGATTGAGGGATTTGTTACTGTAATTTCAATTTCAGATTGTTTGCAGAAATTCATTTCAGAATATAAGGAAGCCTGATATCAGCAAGGTGGAACTTTTAAAAGATGTTAAGAACAAAAAAGATCTTCTCATCCGATTAGTAGCTCATGATATTGAAGAAGATTTAGAAAGTAACATAAAAGAAGAAGACCTAACATCTGATGAATATGAAGTTGTTTTGAGAGAGGTTATTAAAGGAGAACAACTTGAAAATCAAGTAAAAGGAACCACAAAAACAAACATTGAAAGCATTGAAGCCACCTCAGATCATAAAATACAATATAAGGAGAAAGAAGTGAAAAGATCTGTTGCTGAGCTTGATGTGTCCACCCATTCAACAGCCAAGGCTGTGACAGACTCCTCTGGGGAGAAAAAGCCACAGCATAAGGTGAGTGAGACACATGACTGTCCATGACCAGATAGAAATGGAAAGAGTAAAGATCTTCAGAAATTCTGTTCAAAAATGTACTTTAGTTAGGCAGGAAAAAAGAGTGAAATGGTTCTAGTCTTTTCCTAAGCCTGGGAACATTTACAGGCTAAGAGAAATAATGAGCAGATGAAGCAATAAATCTCAATTGAGGGAAAGCAGATAATGAAAAGAGACCAAAATTAGTTAGAAGCCCAAGGAAAACAGAAAAATGGAAACCAAGTAAGAAAAATAAAAGCTAATTTTTATATTTATTACTTAATAGATTCCAATCCTTTTGTATTTTACTTAGTAAATACCCATTGAAAATTCTGCAAACAGAAGACTTATGCAGGTAGGATGTGACCAGAAAGTGGGCCAAAGTAAGAGGGAAATAAAAAGATCCACACAAATTCAGAACTTATAGGTCTGAGTTGAAAATTATTTGAAGAAATAATGGCTAAAAACTTCCCTAATCTTAGAAAGAAAATAGACATCCTGGTCTGGGAATCTCAGAGAATTCCAAATAAAATGAACCCAAAGAGAGCCACATCAAGATACATTATAATTAAAATGGTAAAAAATAAAAATAAAGAGAGAATATTAAAAGCAGCAAGAGAAAAATAACTCATTACATACAAGGGAAATTTCATAAGGAATTTTACATTCAGTCTGTGACCAGATGAATATATACAGATTTTTAGCAGAGACCAAAAAAGAGGGCCATGACATATTTCAAGTGCTAGAAAGAAAAATTTCCAACCAAGAATTTTCTACCTGGTAAGGTTATCAATTCATAATTGAAGGAGCGATTAAGAGATTTCCAGATAAGCAAAAGCTAACGTTCATCATCTTTAAACACTCTACTTTAAACACTCTAAGCCAGTCTTACAAAAAAAAAAAAAAAAAGTGAAAGGACCTCTCTAAGCTGAAAAGAAAATGCACTAATTAATAACAAGAAAACATATAGAAGTAAAAAAAAAAATCTCAGTGGTATAGTTAAACACATAGTAAAAATATTATAACAATCATCTATAAAGCATGAATAATAATCAAAAAACAAAAGTAAAATTAACCAAAATTAAAATAATTAGTTTAGGGAAGCATAAAGTAAAAAAAAGTAAAATGTGTCATCAAAAAAATAAAAGGGAGGCATAAAAATATAAAGCTTTGGAATGTGTTTAAATTTAAGTTGATAACAGCTTAAACTAGATCGCTATATATTTATGATGTTTTATGTATGTAATCACAAATAAAAAAAATTAGAGTAAACCCACAAAAGAAAATAAGAAAGGATTCTAAACATAACACTAAACAAAGTGATCACACCACAAGGGAAGAGAGACAAAGAGAGAAGAAACAGAGTAAATACAAAAGCACCAGAAAATGAGTAAATAGCAATAAATACACACTTATCAATAACTACTATAAATGTAAATGGACTAAATCTACCAATTGAAAAAAAAAGTGGTTGAATGGATTAAAAAAACAAGACTTATCTATATGTTACTTAAAAGGGATTCACTACAGGAGTAAGGACACACAGAGACTGAATGTAAAAGAACAGAAAAAAATTCTATGCAAATGAAAACAAAAGTTCTATATCTAAAATCCTATCAGACAAAGCAGACACTAAAACAAAGACTGTAATAAAAGACAAAGAACAGCACTACATAATGTTAAAAGGGGCAACCATGCAAGAGACTGTAGCACTTATAAATATACATGAACTCAGTAAAAGAGTACCAAAATATTAATGGCTCTAAGGAGAGAAATTGACAGCAGTACAATAATAACAGGGGACTTTTTAACACCCCACTTACATTAATGGATAGATTATTGAGACAGAAAATCAACAAGGGAACATCAGCTTTGAATAACACATTTGACCAGATGAATATACACAGGATGGGTCAAAAGTAGGCTTAAAGTTCTTCATATAAAAATAATAAATAATTAATAAATAAAGATGTAAGAAGGCACTCTATTTCATGTAGTCACTACTGGAAGCCTATTTTTGCCCCACCCTATAGATGCACACACATAGACCATTCAATCCAAAAGCAGCAAAATACACATTCTTCTCAAGTGCACTTAAAATATTTTTCAGGATAGATTATATGTTAGGCCACAAAACAAGCCTCAATAAATTCAAGAAGATTGAAACTATCCAGCTTCTTTTCTGGCCACAATGCCATAAAACTATCATGCTACCTAAGTGTCCACCAATGAATGAACAGATAAAGCAGTTGTGGTTAAATATTCAATGGAATACTGATCAGCCAAAAAAAAAAATAATGAAATCTTGCCATTTTTGGCAAAATGGATGGGCCTTAAAGGTGTAATGTTTAATGAACTAAGTCAGAAAGAGAAAGAAAAGTACCACATGATTTCACTCATATGTGAAAATATTAGGGAAAAAAAACCAGAAAAACAAACAAAACATTAAAAAAACCCGTATGATTCAGAGAACAGATCAGTGGTGATGAGAAGGTAAGAAAGTAGGGAGATTAGTGACAGGGTGGAAGGTGGTCAATTGTATCAAAATGGATAGTAACTAGACTTATATGGGTGATCACTTTTTAGTGTATACAAATGTTGAATTATAATGTTGTATACCTGAAACATATCATTTTTTTAAAATTGTCTTAGTATGTAACATTAGCAAAAGTCATAATAGACTGTATGAATATAAATCCTAGTAATAGTAGCCTGTTTTTAGATTCTAACAAACATCAAAATAAAGACATTCTCATAAAAAATATGGCCATGAAATTGCACATGATTTCCCAACAAACAGATCAGAACTCTGGTTATGATGACTGACCTAACAAGCTTCTGAATTGCCCAGAGTTATATCTGTTCCTTTTATTTTTGAACTCAGTAAGATATGATTAAAATATTAGTAAAGTGGAGGAATGGTAAACTATATTCTTCAACATTGTGTTAGGTTTGTCTTTAAAATCTATCAAACTCCAATATTATAATAATCGGTCATCTTCATTGGGCCAATTCTAGAGAATTATATTAGAAAAAGATATTTTAATTAGAACTGTAACATTCATCTATCTTTTAAATAATCTATAAAAATCTTTTCTGATGTTGTAGTTTAGTGGGCAGTAATATCTGGTTTTCATTTTTTCAGGAAGAAGAAATATATACTATTACTGAACCAACACGTTACTTCATACACAGAATTATGAGTTCATCTTCATACAACCAAGAAGATTTGACTTCATCTGCCAGGTACATGAAATTAAAGCAATACAAAAGTAGAAATCTGAGATGAAAGCAATGCCTATAGAAAGAATGGCTTCCCTGGTAGAATGATGATTGGGCAAGTATTTAGTCCTAGACTTCCCCTCATCCCTTATTCTTACCTCCCATCTCTCCCCACCATAGATACTTCCTAAGGCCTCACCTCTCTATTTGATATCCCATTTTTATTTCCCCAGTCTATACATTCTGTCTAGTCTAGCAGTGTCTTGGGTCAAGAACTTGCTAGTACATTTTGTGTGTTTGTTTGTTTGTTTGTTCATTTTAATCTGGGAGATAAGTACTGGGTCACAGTCATATTTGTATCACCTGCCCAAAGGCTTCCCGCACAAATCTCTTTAGTAATTAAATGTTCTAGTCTTATAACTAACTACTTGTAAGAAGAATCCAAAAGAGAGAAGGAGCCATGTAAGTTGGAGCATACCAAAATAAATTCTAGAAAGCAATGGACTTTGATGTGGGACTGTAAGGTTGGAGAGCATTTATTTGAGGAGAAGACAACCCAAATTAGGATGACTGCAGGAGCAGAGTATGGATGGTGTGGCGTTTTTGGAGGACAGAGAGCAAAATACACTCTAGACTTAACAACGGATTAATAACTCTATCTAGAAAAGCTAAAACTTATCTAAAATTGTTCTTAAGTTTATAAGACTATGCCTAAGCTGGAAGGGGTAACATTTTCTGTTGTGGGAAAACAATGGGTATAAGAAGAAAAATATACCTGGTTATATATTTTTTCCACACAACATAAAGGAATTATTTCTTTTTGACACTGACACTATTTTGGGGACATTTATTCCTGGACCATTATTGCCTTTTATTCCTGCAAAATGGTTATGTAAACATATGTGATTAGTAATGCAAGCATCTCCCTATTGTTTATTTCAATCATGAAGACAAAGACACAGAAAATACCAAATAAATGTCAGTCTAGAGCAAGATGGAAGAGCAGAGAACTGAAGGCCCTTGTTTGGTCAAGGAAACAAAAAATAAATCAGACTGATAAAACAACTTCATAGGAACTCTGGAAACCACTCAAATATTAGCAGCAATCAAGTGAATGCTCAATCAAGGAAAAGCCACATTCAAAATGTAGGAAATTCCACTGATTTTTACTTGCCCTTTCTCAGCCCCCTCTGTAACATGATGTGGCACAGTTAGGAAGAGTTAGCCCAATTCCCAGTTTCTTCCCTGAGAATGGAAAAACTAGATTTTAACTGATCAGCAATATTCTGGCCTGTCTTGTGGACTTTCTGAGGGAATGTTTTCCTTCTTGCCTGAGGAGAAGATCTAATTGGGAGCAGTGGCTTAGTTTGGATCTAGGCCTAGAAACCACAGAAGGTGGCTGATGGGTGCCACAATGCATGAAAATCATAGAGAACTGCAGGTGCATAAGCGCCTGAGAGCAAGAGGGTGACTGTAGGCAGAGAAATACAATAGAACATCTAAGGTCCTGTGAAGAAACATGATAAAGACCCCTGGAAAATAAAACACTTAAAAGTAGATCAGGAAAAATGAGAAAGAAAAAACACAAAAATAGGTCCAGAAAGACATATGCCTATAAATCATGCAAAGTCTTTCCTAATTACAATGGAATAAATTAGAATTCAAAAGCAAAAGGAAAACTGAAAAATTCACAAATACATGGAAATTAAGCAATGCTTTCTTAAACAACCAATGGGTCAAACAAGAAATCACAGGGAGAGTAGAAAATATTCAAGACAAATGAAAATTAAAACAATATAGTACTAAAATGTATGAGATGCAGTCAAAGTAGTGCTGAGTGAAATTTATGGCTGTAATTTTTTCATTAAAAAACCGTAACAATAACCTACTTTACACCTTAAATAACTAGAAAAAGAAAAACGAAGCTCAAAAACTAGCAGAAGGAAATAATAAAGATTAGAGCACAAATAAAATAAAGACTAGAAAAGCAACAGGGAAAAATCAGTGAAATCAAGAGTTGGTTCTTTAAAAAGATGAACAAAATTGACACTTTTTTCTAGATTGTCTAAGGAAAAAGAGAGACTACTGAAATATCTAAAGGGACATTGCAACTAATTTTATATAAATAGAAAGGATTATAAGAGAGTACTATGAACAATTATATGACAACAATTGGATAACCTAGAGGAAACAGATAAATTCATAGAGACACAAAACCCACCAAGACTGAATCACTGAGAAATTGAAAATCTGAACAAACCTAGACTAAGTAAGGAGATTAAGCCAGGAATCACAAACCTACTAAGGAGAAAAGCTCGGAACCAGATGTTTTCACTGGCAGATTCTAGAAAACATTTATGGAAGAATTAACACCAATGCTCCTAAAAAATTTTCCAAAATATTGGAGAGGAGGGGATAGCTTCAAACCATAAGGCCAGTACTACTTTGATACCAAAGGTAGACAAAGACACTACAAGAAAAGAAAACTACAAATATCTCTGATGAATATTGATGCAAATACCTTTTAACAAAATTCTAGCAAACAAAATTCAACAGCACATTAAATAGATTACATACCATAACTGTGATTTATCCCAAGAACACAAGGGAAGTTCAACATATAAAAATCAATCAATACAATACAATGCATTAACAGGGTGAAGGAAACACACACATTCTCTTCTAAATTAATGCATCGAAACTATTAGACAAAATTTAAAACTATTCAAGATAATAACACTGAACACACTAGGAATAAAAGGAAATTACCTCAAAATAATAAAAGCTATATATAGAAAACCTACAACTAGGTTTCTCTTTAGTGGAATAGAATAGAGTCTGAAAACAAATCATTCTTCCTTGGTCATGTGAATTTTTTCTAAGCATGCCAAAACCATTCAATGGGGAAAGTACAGTCTTCTTAACAAATAGTGTTGGGAAAACTATATAACCATACACAACTGGAACTAGTGATCATTTTTTAGCTGTGACACTAAAAGTACAAGCAACAGAAAATATTAAATAAATTGGACTTTACCAAAACTAAAATATTTTGTGCGTCAAAGGATAGAGTGAAAATTCAACCCATACAATGGGAGAAAGTATTTGCACATCATATACTTAATATATCCAGAATATATAAAGTACTCCTATAACTCATCACCACCAACAACAAATGTAACCTGATTAAAAATGGACAAAGGACTTGATAGCTATTTCTCCAGAGAAGATATACAAATGGGAAATAAGCACATGAAAAGATGCTCACCATCACTAATCATTAGGAAAATGCAAATCAAAACCATACTGAGATGCTGTTCACATTGATTAAACTAGTTATTTTTAAAAAATCAGAAAATAATGTGTCATCAAGAATATGAAAAAAATTGAAACCCTCACACATTGTGGTTGGGAATTTAAAATGGTGCAGTCACTGTGGAAAAGAGTATGACAGTTTCTCCAAAAAAATAAAATGTATAGTTACCACATGACCCAGCAATTCCACTTTTGGGTAAACACCCAAAAGAATTGAAACAGAGACTCAAACAGAAATTTGTACACAGCAAAATTATACATAATAGAAATCATGGGAGCCACTCCATGGTGAATGAATGGATAAATACATTGTGTTATACACATTCAATAGCATATTATTCAGCCTTAAAAAGGAAGGAAACTCTGAGACATGCTTCAATGTGTATGAACCTTGAAGACATTATACCTAAGTGAAATAAGTCAGTCACAAAAGGACAAACTACATGATTCCATTTACATGAGATACTTAGAGTAGTCAAATCAGAAAGTAAATAGTGGTTTCAGAGGATGGAGACAGAGGACTATGGGGTGTTAGTAATTAATGGGTACAGAGTATCAGTTAAGGAAAATGAAAAAATTCTGAACTTGGATAATGGTGATGATTGCACAGCAATGTGAATGTACTCAAGCATAGACCTGTACACTTAAAATAGGTTAAAATGTTAAATTTTATGCTATGTATATTTAACCAAATTTTTGAAAGTGGAAAAAAGTCAATTTAAGAGTCATATTTATTAATTGGGAAATTCAGTAATATAGTATTCTAAGTTTATTTCTATATGAAGATTGATTGGCAGATTGTTCTTTTGTTTAACCAGTAATTCCTTTATTCATTAAATACACAGAAAATTAAATGCTCTCTTTCTTTTGTTTTAGTGAGACCGAAGATTGTACTCCTGATGCACATGCTAAAATATTAGAAGGTTAGATTTATTTTATTTAACTTAAAGTAGAAAGTATTCAAAAGAGCACATTGTTTACTGCTTTAATATTTTTTTTAGTTATCACATCTAAAGTTTATACTGTGTTGTTAATTCCTGTGAGTGTTAACTACTTTAAGAAATATGATCTAGTCCTACACCACTCAGGTGTTTAAATAAGCCAAATAGTTTGCCTTGTCTAAATTGTTACTAAGATTTTATTAATGATTTTGATCAAGAATATGGTATGATATGAATTTACATTTACCATGCTCCTGTGAGAAATATCCACCAAATAGGGTCTATCGTACCATAGTTACCATCAGAGCTAGAATCTATGATACTAGGATTTAACAATTTTTTGAAAGTTGATTTTTCCTTTGTGCTTAGCCCTACCAAAATATACTTAAAAATGGAGATCAAGGGGCTTTCAGAGCTAAATTTATTTGCTGGCATTACAATCTGGCTAGTATGGACTTCCCTTTTTAAAAAAATCTCTTAGTCTCTACTCCTTAGATAACTTGTGAGGACTTTTTGGTGTTCTATTTGTTGAATCCTTAGAGGATCAGTGTGGTTCTAACAGTGATAGCATGTGCAACACAATAGAGTGCTGTTTACTGTTAAGTAGCCTTGAAACTCAAACCGCAGGTTTACCCTGGGTATTTCAAACATTCAGCCCACTCAAGAAATATGTTCTCTCACGGAAAGTCAAGGTGGAAAGCATTTTCATTAAGATGGCTCATAGTACGGCAGGAGTCAGTGTGCTGGAATTCTCTGAACACACCATAACCAGAAGGTGTCACAGTAATCACTGGTATTATACCTGTATTATGGAATCATAGGCTGTTAGAGTCAGACAGAAACTACTTAATACAATATCCTTAATTGTTTGCATGAGGAGACTCGAGTTGAGGGTGAGCAAGGGACTTGTTCAAGGTTGCTTTGAGTCAGAGACAGAGTCCAGTCTAGACTCATAAATTCAGTTTGTTTTGTTTCTTCCTACTTTTTTTGTCATCATCATGCTTAATTCTTTAGTGGTATTACAGCTGTCCAATTCAATAATTTATTTATTCATTCAATTGAAAAGTTACTGATCATCTCAGTGTTACATCCCATGGGTGAACAAACCTGACAAAGTCCTTGCTGTCACAGAATTTACATTGTAACTTGGGGCAGGGCATCAAAGGGTAAGAACATTAGTTTGAGATAATAAGTGCTTGCCAGCTTATCTGGGATAAAAACCAAAGAAACTGATGACTTGCAAAATCCTACATTGTCTGGACATTACCCTAATCCCCTCTCACCTCTCTAAGCACCTCCTCTGTTCCTCTCTCTGACTCACTCTGTTCCAGCCTCGCTGACCACCTTGCTGCTCCTTATACATCCCAGGCCTCAGGGGCCCTCGCTCTTGCTGATCCTCATGCACTTCTCTTCCTTCTATGTCTTCCCTCTATGCATTGTTCCGTCCTCACCTTCAGATCTTTACTCAAATGTCACCTACTTAGGTCTTCTTTGACTAAGCTTTTTGAAATCATAACCTCATTCCCAGCGTGACACTACCTACTCCACTTCTTTGCTTATTTTTCTCTCTGACATTTGTTATTATCTGACCGTCAACTTGTTTTTTACCATCTCCTCCTAGAATGTAAGCTCCATGAATATCGCAGCTGTATTTTCTAGAGGCTAAAACAGGCATATAGTAGGAGGAGGCATTTAGTGAAATAGGAGAGACTATGGGAGTGACTAAGGGGAGGGACACAAAAATCTGCTTTGGTTATGTTAAGACTGAGGTACAGTTAGAATATTTAGGTTGAGGTATCACGGAAGCAATAGGATATTTGAGTCTGGAGTTCAATGGAGAGGTGAGGGTTGAAAATATACATTTTTAGTTTTATATAAAATATACAATGAAATCTAAATAGTTTAAATCTGAATATCTGAACACCTCAACTATCAAGAATTTTTCAGCAACTCTTCAAACAACCAAGAAAATGTCTACAACTTTTAAGATAGAGGACAAACAATGTCCATCTCCAATGTAGCTGAGATTTTAAAATTGTCAGACAAAAATTTTAAAGCTTTGGTTATAAAAATTTCCATGAAGTAATGGCAAATGTGCTCAAATCAAATGGAAAGACAGAGGTTCTCAGCAGAACTTAAGTGTATTTACTCATCTGAGACATATGGTAGTATCGGCTCCCCGCTTTTAAATTAGGGATTCTCAACTCTAATTTTCTCACATTAGAATTATGTGGGCATTCATTTTTGAATATCAGTATCTGCCCCACTCTCAGGGGTTTCCATTCAATTGGTGGTTTGTGATCCAAGACTCATATTATTACCATATTAAGACTCATAATAGATTACTCTATTATGCAGAAATGATAAGAAGGAGTGCTTTAGATATCTCTACTCCAGTCTATGCTCAGTTATCTGTTTGAAATATCTTAAAACATGCACGTCTGCTTTCACTTGACCACTCTGAAATAGACACCTGAACTGTATAGAATTAAAAGCCAGCTCTCCATGTGAGTTTAGCTCATCAGACTTCTTCAGAGAGTTTCCCACTAGGAAATGGAAGGCAATTTTTGCACACCTGACTGAAGAAGCCTCAGAGTGCCACAGGTATAATGATGTAAAGAGAATCGGAAGGCTGGACCCTGTCCCCGCCTTGGCCACTTTTCACTTGTGTGACCTTAGGCAAGTTGTTTGACCTCACCAATATTCAGTGCTCAAGAATGGAGATACCATTCTTCCCATTTCCTTCACAGGAAAACAAAGAATCTTTGTAAATGATTTTAAAACCATAAGTATTTTATGTGTCATTTTCTAAATTCTAAAATAAAAAATAACCAATGCTGTAATATGACTGTAGTATTAAAAAACCTAATAAATATCCATATTACTTTTTTGCTTCATCCACAGAAACTCCCAAGGCCAGTATTTCCAAACATGGATCTAAAATGCTGGCAAAGGTATCTTCAGCTCTGTCAAAGGTGTTTTCTCGAACAAACCCCAAATCCTCATCACCACCTCACCAGGACAAACACTGAAGCTTTTATACTTGATATAACATTGCTTACTTCCCTTAGAAAAATAAAACAATTTTTAAAGCATAACATAGTGTCCTATAGATGATTTACATAATATTGAGCAAAAAATTAAGGGCAAAAGAAAGTAAAATAGAGGCCTGTGTAAGAAAAAGTTTTGGTAAATCTTTTTGATAAGCCTTTTGGTTTGAGAAGATGTTTAGTGCTAGCCTTACCTGTGTGCCATGAGGATAAAGAGACAAAAAGTGTATCTAGTACTCCAGTCAGTCCTCAGTTACCACCAGAAAATGAACTTGAATTTTTTCTGTTATATTTTTAGAGGTATTTTTACCAAAACAGTTAGCAAATTCAGATAAAACTCAAGATGGATTCTATGACACAGCTATAAAACCAATTGGTTCACTGTTAAGGGTGTATGTTCAAATAAAAGTATTTATACCAGATATAAGAAATCAGTTGTTCCCACCTGAAGATAAAATTTCATCATTTTATAATATATCTATCTCCCAAGCAAAAAAGATCTAAATATGGATAAAGCACCATATAGAAGTAACTAATTACTGCATATAAAATACTAGAAATGTATAAACTGACCCCGTAACAAAACAAAACAAAACAAAAAAAAACCTTTTCAGACATAATACCTTTGTAGATAAAATAACATCTCTAAATAAATCATTGGTTAGTAAATTTATTAAAACCTTTATGTAAGTATTTTAACATGAAAATGGATATCAAGTCTCTATTTGTAAAAAAAAAAAAGTAAAGAAGAAAATTTAACAAAGTGGGTGTCTAATACAGTGACAAAAGAAATTTTTCAAGATCAGTTAACTTGATACTTTGTGATATTGATCCAACTTCAGCATGTTTGCCCCTGGAATCTAAGGGCCTTGTTTAAAAGATTCAAAAAGGTGGACCAAACAGCAGAGTGTCAGTCATCATCACTTATCAGCCCTAATGCTGAGTTATAAATTTTAAGAAGTGTGGTATCTTCTTTTTTACCCAAAATTTTCTTGACAGTAGCCTGTGCTAAAAGCAGAAGCATTGGAGAAAATTTCATTTTACCAAATTGGATTTCCTCTAATAAAATTAGTCAGTGTGGGTATGACTGGGAGCTCCAGAGAAAAAGATGTGATTATATAAGTAGAATATTTGCATTCTAATGATAATAAAGTTATCCAATTAGGAATTTAGTCAATTCATAATAATCTCATAACATTTAATCTCAAAGATCATACAAAATAATCTAACCTATAGACAAAGACATTTTCAAAAATGACAGTTGATGAGAAAAGACTGGCAGTCCAGTTTAAAGCTATTTTCAGTAGGATTTTGGTCAAGGTGGAATAGGTAAACACTGTGCTCACCTCCTCTCACGAAAACGTCAAAATTACAACTCAATTATAGAACACTCACCCTGAGAATCACCTGAAGACTAGGTGAACAGAACTCCTATAACTAAGGACATAAAGAAGAAGCCATATCAAGACTTGTAGGAGGGGTAGAGATGCAAAACAGGTTGGTCCCATACCCACTTGTGGCAGTTAAGGATCAGGAGGGATATCTCTGCTGCAGAGGTTCTTCTGAGGGATGAAGGGTTCCAGCCCCAGTCCTGAGAACAAGAGTCCCCACAATATCTGGCTGTAAAATCAATGGGACTTGCACCTAGTGAGATGGAGGGCTGCAGGAGACTCAGGCATCCTCTTAGAAGGCTCAGGCACAGGCTCACTCACAAACACTTGACCTAAGTTCCAGAGAACGGACAGCAACTTAGTAAATACCATGAACATGCCAGAACAATATGGAGGAAAAATGAATTGTCTGGCTTCAGGGGAAGCGCTAGTGGGGCAGCTCTCCCTGGGACTAAAGCCTCAGTAGGAAGCATTGTTTCTTTGTTGATCTGATCCCTCCTCCACACAGCAGGCACATGTAGGCACCAAATTTGGCTAACATCATTCTCAATTTCACCACCACGCCCCCATTGATTCTGGGATACCCTGCCACACCCAATCCATATGCCAGCCTCAGATCTTTCAGAAGCTAATCAACGCAAGCAGCTGGCCTGGGCCCATGCTGCAGACTTTCCTAAAACTCTCAACAGTCTGCAAACTCCAAACAAGCAGCAGCTGGCTTCACTGTGTCCTGTGACTCTTACTAAGCAGCCTCAGGCCAGTTACCAGTGGCAGCCAGACTGGGTTCACAGTGTAATCATTCCCAGACACCTCCCAGTCCAGCACAAGCAGCTACTACATGCAGATCACTTTGTAGCTCCTACAAGGGGGCCCCAAGACAGACATGGGCAAGAGTTGGCCTACACCAGAGCCCCTCCCAAGCGGTTCCAGAACCAACACACCTGGTGGCCTGCCCCAGACCACACCAGAGCACCACCCTACTGGCTACACAAATGACACACCCACATCGTAAACTTGGCGGGCACCAGAGCCTCAATAAAGTGAATATCACTCAGTAGAGTCAGTTTCCACAGCAGGTCAGCACCCACACAATAGCTCATCTGTTGGTCCTCACAGCCAGTCAGCCTGAGGGGCAATACCACCCTCTGACATGCCAACAGTAATCAAGGTTCCACTGCAATAGGAGAGTACACTCAATCCACACAAGGGACCCACCGGGAGCACCCAGCTAAGGTGAATAGGGAGGCGGTGCCACTACGGCCCACAGGACACCTACTACACAAGGCCGCAAAGCTTAGATTAAAGGCATAGCAGACCCACCTAATAAATAGAAACCAATACAGGGAGGCAACCAAAATGAGGAGACAAAGAAAGATGTCCCTAATGAAAGAACAGAATAAAACACTAGAAAAATAACTAATCAAAATGGAGGCAAACAATAAACAAAATATAGAGTTTGAAAGAATGTTTATAAGGATGCTTAATGAACTTAGGGGAAGAATAAATGACCTCTGTGAGAACTTCAACTAAGAGACAGGAAACAAAAAGAGGATATAGAAAACATTAAAAAATAATCAGACACACAAATACAATGTACAGATGATGTATTATAGAACTGTATACCTGAAACATATATAATTTTATTTCAGCCAGTATCATCCCAATAAATGCAATAAAAAAAAATCAGCAACAACAAAAAAGAATCTGACAGAAATGAATAATACTATAACAAAGGAAGAAACATTAGATGGAATCAACAGAAGACTACATAAAGCAGAAAAACCACCTTCTACCCCCACCACATAGTTCTGTAAACACAAAGAACAAAAATGAAGGAAAGGAATCCAAACACAGGGCCAAACGAGTTTTTGGGAGAATATTTTCTTGTATTTGGGGACCAGACACTGTATTATGACTCAAGGATAAAGGGCATAAAAGAACATGAGAAAAAAGAGAACTTTATTGAAGATAAATTTGCCACCACCATCATTTAAGAATAGTAACATGTTAAATGAAGCCAGCTGACGTGTTGGGGCAATAGAAAAAAAAATATGAATTGGCTTTCACAAACTTATACTTAAATTTATTCCCTATTCATATCCACATAGCAAAAACTAATAAACATCAACTATCACCTCTCATAATACACAAAAATTTGCTCTAAATGGATCATAGATCTAAACACAAAGGCTAAACCTATAAAATTTCTGGAAGAAAATATCAGATAAATTCTTTGCCATCTAGTGTAAGGAAAGATTTCTTTGAAAGTAGACAAAATATTTAAACAGACACTTCACAAAAAAAATTCTTGGTTGGTCAGTAATTGTATGATAAGATGCTCAACAGGTAAGTAGATTTAAAAATGATAGTGTATTTACACATGGTATACAACTACAATAAAAAGTGAACTGCTGATACATGCGACAACATGGGTGAAATCTAAAGATAATATTCCTCTGCAAAATGAAATAGACACACAAAAAGTGTATCTTACATGATTCCACTTATATAAAATTTCAGAAAATGAAACATATTAGTGACAAGGGGCAAATCAGATTGTCTGCAGAACTGGGGGCACACAAAGGGATGGGCTACAAATTTGCATAAGGAATCTTTTTTGTCTTGTTGAATGCAGTCTTTTTCTTAATTGTGGGAATGACTCTACAGGTATATTACTGCTCAGAATTCATAGAATTATATACTTTAGTGGATTATTTGTACAAATTATAGCAAGAATCAGATAAAACAAATAAATGAAAGTACTTTGTATAAGGATGAACATCCTTAGAATTAGAATAATTAGAATAACTTATTTCTAAAATTATTCTAATTTTATAATTTCTAAATAGAAAATTAAAACATGGTTTACTTTCAATATGAGTTTAAATTAATCCAGTTGTCTAAATCAGCTCCACTAAAACCAGAACTTGTTCCTAATGTTCAAAGAGGCATCATTATAACTAAAGTTTACTAGATTGCCAAAATAGCTTGGCCCAAGAGATCAGACTGTAGCTTTATGTTTTTAGAATTTGGTGTTGTAAATATTTCGTATAACAGCATCAATCTTCCTTTTTCATTATTTACATTAACCATCTACTACTGTGTTTTCCTTCTATTATGAAGTGCATGTCCAAGTATATGGTTTTTGGTTAATTTATACCTAAGCATTATAATCTGGTGAATAATAACAGAGTTGGGAAACAATTACAACTGGGTGCATATTCATTCTCTGTCATCTACCAGCTATTTTACCTTGTAAAATGGGATACTAAGAATTCTTATTTCATAGAGATGTTTTGAAGAATTATTGAGACATGTACATGATGCTGAATAATTGTTCTTATCACTTTCAATTATTACCAACTACCAATTCTGTTTATCAATTGCATCTTACAGATGAGAAAATTGAGACTTAGAAAAGTTAATAGACTGATCCATGGTCACAGATTGCTCAGTTTAAAGCTTGATTTACAGCAATTTATTTTAAATAATAGTTACTCAGCTGTGAAACATGTTAATAGACTTTAGTTGAATTTACCATTTTGTCATTTTTTTCTAAAGTTAATGAATGAAGATGTATAATTCATGGAC